TCCCAATACATTAGATACTTTATTTTAGGCTTATTCGATAGAGAATTTCCTGCTCTACAGAATGATTACGTTTATTTTCCAAATAACTCTTATTTTTGTCGGCACAAAATTTAAAAGACAAACACCCACTCAATCGTCCAACTACGACAGTCAAACTCTGTTTTTTTTATATATATGTTTCAGAATTTCAAACGAAACAGGTGCGAAAAAAGTTTTTGAAGTAAAAAATCTGAAAAAACCCATTTCTAGCATAATTACACCATTATTTTTTTTGCATTCGACATAACCTGATGTTTCTACTCTTCAATTTAACAATCATATCATACTGCTCAGAATTAAATTCTACAGCTGACAACATGAGAATAAACGTGTCATAGATCAAGTCTTGCTGAGGAAAACATGGTTGTCTGGAATGTGTTTCAACATACCATCAGTGTTTTTCTTCTGAATAACAGCAGCAGAAATCTTGAAAAAATCATCGAAGTAGAGAGCACGAAATTTTCTCACATGCTTTACTTTTACCATCGGTGTTGCCTGAGCAAAGGCTTACACAAATTGTTAGATGCTTGCAGAAAATTGAAAATTGCAGTTAGACGATTGAATGGGTGTTCATCTTTTAAATATTACGCCGACAAAAATAAAGAGCTATTTAGAAAACAAAGGCAATTGTCTTGTCGAGCACGACATTCTCTATTGAATGAGCTTAAAAACGAAGTCTCTAATGTGTTGGGAAGTGCTCTAAAAAGACGAAAACATTGTGTTCAGTTTATTTTGGGTGAATGATTATATATAATAATGCACGATAAAATAAAATATGTAATTATCAATGAAGAAAAAAACCAATAGTTAATATTATTTTTATTGAATCATCACAAATCCCTTAGTAGAAATGTCTTTGTTTTTTTTGTTTATTTTCATTAAAAATATTTTTGTTTTCATAATAGTTCTGGAGATGAATATTTATCCGGAGAAGACATTGTGTGAGTATTAAAAGATTCGATAAGTGATAAAAGATATTAATAAATAAAATACAAAAACTAGTTATTTTTTAGCTAATTTACGCGCATCAGCAAGTAGTTCAGATGTAACTAGTTCATCTGATTGGATTTCTTGAGTCATAGCTACAGCTGCTTTCATTGCTGCTCGCATTTGATTAACTGATAATTCATTTGTATCCTTATCATTAGTATCATTAGTTGATGATAATTTCGTTGCTAATTTAAGTGCAATAGCTAATGATTCAGGCGTAAGATTTTCATGTTGTTCTTCTTGACCTGAGGATTTTTCAGACAATTTTATTGCAGCATTAACAGTTGCTGGTGTTAATTTTTCTTCATCATCAGTTGGAAGTGCTGCTAATTTAATTGCACTAGCTAACATATCCAATGTTAATTCTTGAGATTTTTTAGATTCATTGATTAATTTTGTTGCACAACGCACAGCTGCTCCGATTTCATCAAGCTTTGAATTTGTTTCGTCGTTTGCCATTCTTTTTCTTCTTCTTAGTAAAAGTAACTTTATAAAAAAAAAAGAAATTGTTGAACAACGATACTTATGTGTATGTGAAAGAAAATAAAAATGAAAATCGAGTGTAAAAAAAAAAAAGAATAAGAAGTAAAAAAAAAAAGTAGTGAATTCTACTGATTTTTTTCTCTCCGATAAAACACGCAAACAAGAAAAAAATGGTTTATAAGGCAACGACTATATGAAAAAAACATTGAAGAAAGAAACGTCAACGTAATTTTATGCGAGAATAGGAATAACAATTATTTTATTTTGAATAAAAAAAAAAAAGAAGTTTTATAAAGACAAATATTGACATCAAGGTGTATATTTCTTAACTTACATATTATAATTCATATCATAGACAACGATAAAAACTATCAGAAAAAAAAGACCATGCTAGATATGTTATGATTCTAAAAGCCAATAATTCTTTTTTTGTATGGTACTTCATATCTACATTATCTATAATCTCTAAAATTAATATTAATAAAAGTTGGGATTTTTGCTATCACCATTGATGCTTCATTTTTTAGTTCTACTATGTTTAGTAATTATTTTTATATCAGAATTTGGTCACAGTATAATTGATATTGATTCTATCATTATGCGAATATCAATATTCCATGAAAGTAAACCTTCAACTTATAATATCGATTTTGCCTTGTAGAAGATGTGTACCATTACTTTTTCTTTTATTGATGGAAACATTCTTCTGTTGATATTGTTCCATAAAGACGATGATTCAATCGATTAATGAGTGTTAGCATATTAACCTTGCAAGCATTTTGTGACAGACAGGTGATTGATGATCATTGGCGTCGATTGTTTTGATTATCCTATCTTTATTTCTTTTTCTTTTTTTTTTTGGTCTTATATTCGTTATCGCACATCTATCGATACTTGTTTGAGAATGACCTTCTAAACAAAGACATGACGATAACCAATGTTCAACTGGATACAATGTCATTATGCATTATTTAGAGTATATGTTGCTTTAGTATGTCATAGAATAAGATATCAATTTAGTTCTATTCCTATGGGATGACGTTCATAAAATTTTTTCATATAATTTTATTATATTAGTTCATTTGAAAGTATAGAATTTATCATTTAGTAATAAAAAGTCTTTTCTACATGAAAATGTCAAATGACATTCTGTAAGATGCCACTCAACTACTATCGTATCTCGCGTCTTTTATATCGACGATATTAATCTCATTTGCTTCATCAACAGTCTATCTAACATCATTTTTTTATTTAGACACAATAAGTATATAGATATATATTTTTCTTAATTAATATAGCAGTATGCTATACTAATTTAGATTAATGTAAGGTAAGATTTATAGTAACTGCTTTCAACTCATACGTTTCTTATTTAATGATATTTGACTTCTTTTCTATCTACTATCGAGGAATCACAACCGACAAGTGAAGGTTAGACATAGGAGGAAAGTAAGAATGAACTTCTTCTACACAGGCTACTCCATGTATGTGATGTTAATGACCTTACGCGATGATATATGTATATGCCCTAATTAGTTAAGACCTTGATTTGACTGTAAGAATGATAGTAGTGTATAAATATTCATTTGTTTGACACTAAAACCATTACTTTTTCTATTACGCGACTATTTTCTCTTTTCTCATCGATATACTTATCAGACATAAAATGTGTTCATCATAAACAATTTTCATGGTCATGTTTATTCGTTCAAAAGATATACTTTTTATACAAATAAACGGTAATATAACATACTCTGCTTTATATTAATTATCTACTTTTTATTTTGTTATGATAAATATATGACCTATGTATTCCAAACTGTTGTGCGCTTGTCATTCTTACATCAGATTATATTTCTCTATTGTGATTTTTTTGCTTTAATACTTAAGACATAATCATTACATTTGGCGATGACAGGTAAACTGACATTTTAGTTGAACATTACATATGCCATTGTTAATGATGTTTTTTTTTTTCTTTTCTATTTATGTTACACAGTCGTATTAGGAATAATAATAATAATAACATAAGACTAAGTAAACTTGTTTGTTTAATAATAAATCTATTATAAATATTGATGTATTAGAAGAAAAAAATCAAAATTTTGTTCCATACAGTTTCTAAAAAAAAACTGATTACGATCAATCAATAGGAAATTTCATAAATAACTGAATGTGTGCTAGAAATTTATTTTTCAAACTATTTATAGTTCATAGAAAAAGAAAAAGTGAAACATATAATAAACCATTAATAGATGTTAGATGAAATATTCTTTTAATAAAAATATCCGACTCTTAATGAGCATGTTAGTTGTATGAAGCGTTCAGAAAAAGTAAAAATAAGTTGAAAAAAAAAATTATTTGAGTACTTTTCTAATTTTTATATAATTGACTTAATAACCCAAATGATTATCATGTTTTTCTCCTATATTAAAAATAGTAGATAATCATGGATTATTACATGAATAGACGATATCATGGAGTTTCTCTTTTTTTTGTCTAAGCATCAAACAGGATGCATACATATGTTTTTTTTCCGGAAGGTAATTCAATGAGTTTAAATAGCCTAAATAATAAATTTGATATCGAATAACAGCTTATGGAAACATAAGAACTATCAGTGCAAATGAGATTCCATCAAATGATTATGAATTATAGAATTACAATTCTACTAGATAAACATGTACAGATTATTCAGTACTTTAATCTAATGCTGTTATTTTCATATGAAATTTAATAAACAAAAAAAAGTTTTCTGAGATTTCTTTCTATAGAAGTACTAAACTAGATTTTTAAAATTTATGAGAAATTTCATAATCATTCGATAAATTCTCATTTGTATTTATAGTTCTTAAGTTTCAATGATCTTTCATTAGCTTTAAAAATTTATTTTTTTATATTGTTTGAAATTAGAATGTTATTTTCCTGGAAAAAAAAAGAAGTCCGTATATTTCTTACAGAATTTTAATCAATCTTTATCAGTTAGAAAATATTTTATTTATATACCATTGTTCTCTGATACAAAATTCGTTAACAGGAAATTTACTTGTTCGGATTAAAATAATCCAATAGGGTTGTTTTGAGAATTATTATTATTACTTCTTTAATCGAAGTATATGTCATTTTCTTTTAAAAGACATAATAAAAACTATGTTATTTTGAGCTAAACTTTTCTGGTAAAGATCAAGCGTAGGTTTGGATTATCGTCTAAAGAGAAGCGTGACATTTATTTGAAAAGGCTGATTTAGTAATCAGTTGATGACTAAATGATTCTTTTTTCTCATGCGATATATAGAAATATCATATTTTCATTTTTGAGAAATCCAGCTTCTATAAACGACTATCGTATGATATTTCATCTGGAAGATTTTAAAAAAAAGACATGAATGAAAAAAAAGGGAAGTGAATATTTTTTTTTTTTTTGAAGTCATTCTCATTAGCCGATTAATAATAATCCAGCAAACCGACGGAACAGAAACAGTTTCAAAGTTTTCGACTGATTATAACTCTAATTTCTTCTAAGAGATGTCGAGAATTCAAAATTTTAACAAATTTTTGTTTTCGATCTATTTAATGTCGTTGGATAGAGTACATCGAGTTAACTATAAACAATTACTTTTCCCGATGTTTAGAAACATAACTAAATTCTAAATATCATCATTTGCATCGTTTATTATCATCGATATGTAAATATTTTGTTTTTTACTGTGTAGCATATGATAAGGGTTATTTTCTTATTCTGCAGAGTAGATCGACCCTTAAAAAAAGCTTTATGTACATGAAGTTTTGTTTTTTGATCAATTTTCTCTTCAAAATAAGGAAATAACCCTTATCGTGTTCTACAAAGTTAAAAAAATCAAATACCAGGCGGTCCAAAAGTAAGAAAATACAGAAAAAATTGAATATCTCCATTGGGACTTGAGCAAACGAGCTAATTTTCTATCAATGATAGAAACATGTTCAAGTTTTATATCCACAAAGACATGCCTAATGAGATCCTTTGTTAAGTATCACTGTTGACCTTCAGAAGGTATGCTACTTTTTCTCAGATAGGAAATAAAAATAATATCCTTAACAAAGGATCTCATTAGACATGTCTTTGTGGATATAAAACTTGAACATACTTCTATCATTGCTAAAAAAAAACTAGCTCATTTGCTCAAGTCGTAATGGAGATGTTCAATTTTTTTTTGTGTTTCCTTACTTCTAATCGTTTTTCATAGCAAAATTCGATGTGCTCTATCCAACGACACTAACTAAATCGAAAGAAATAATTTTGAATTTCCAATATCTTATATTCTTTATTTTTTTTTTTCTTATTTCCTAATGAACTTGTTTTAATAAGCCAAGCTCATCGTTTCTTTTTGAAGACATTATTATTGAATTTAATGTCATCAAAATGTAGGATAATTATTTTCTTCGTCCTATTTCTTTTTCAAACGAAGGTTTTTTTCATCGGTCGTTGGAGTATTTTTTCTTTTGCTCTTGCTAATGTGTTTATATATGTATGTTATTCATTATTAAATCACGACAAAAAAAAAAAGAAAGGATTAAGACATATATTTTGAATTTTAAGATTAAAATGAATAATATGAATTCAACAGGCGATATTGAAATACCAACAATATCGGTAGCTTATTTTCATCGTTTACTTAAACGTTTTGGTGTTGTTTATATGGCAATTGTAATTATATTTGGAATTATTGGTAATTCTATATCATGTTATGTTTTTGTTCGAAGTAAACTTAAGTATGTATTTTAATAGAATAATTATGAATTATTATTTATGTACCTTTTTTTTTTTTTTTGTTTTAAAATCTTTTAGACGTTTAAGTTGTAGTTCCTATTTGATTGCTTTATCTTTATCTGACAATGGTTATCTTATATGTTTATCACTTATTTGGTTGGAAAATGTACATTTATATATATTTCATAATCATGGAATATGTCAATTTGGTGTTTATCTTACAACAGTTTGTAGTTCATTGTCTGTATGGTAAGGATTTATTTTTATTTATTTAAGAAAATTATTCTATTCAATTGAATAATCTATTATAGAATTATGAAATTAAGATTTGAAAAATATAAATTAAAAAGAGATTTCTTAAATTTATAAATATACTTTAATGTATTTTTGTTAATTGATTAACGTTCGTTTTTTTTAAAGAGATCATAATAAAAATGTTCAAGATAGAGCATGCAACTTTCATTCTCGAACCATAGCTTTCTTTTCCTTAGAAATGATTGCATATCATTTAGAAAAACGCTTTTGATAAAAGAAAAAAGAATTTTTCAAGAAAATTTTTTATTCTATATACCATCTGGTATAGTTTCGGGGGCTGATTTAAAATATAACATTGATTTTCAATAGAAATTTTCTGGAATTTATAAAAAGTCACAAAATTTGCTAAAAATCAAAAGTTTTAAATAATTTGATCAAATATACACATAATTTTGCTTGATTAGCTTTGAGATACGAGGAGGTAATCATCTGAAATTGTATCTTAAACTATATATCTGAAGTTCCTCTATCAGAAGCATACGTCAAAATTCAAATTGCATCGAAATGAAACACGATTTTCATGCATGTTTTTGACTGTTTTACGAAGATGATAGGTTTTAAAATAATTTTGTTTTATATAATATCAGACAAAAAGACGTCCAAAATTCTCCACTTTGAATTTCTAAAAACCACACGTGGCCAGATGTTGTCGTTGTCGAATTATTAAGGTTACATTCACCGGTCTTAAAATCTGACACCGACATTAAGTTAGAAAAACCTTTAATTTTTTTCCTCAAAACTCATACATTCAATCGGTATTATTGTCACGTTTTGACGTCCGAAAGTCGCTATGACTGAGTGATTAAGTTGTTCGGCAGGTACCACTAAGGTATTGTGTTCGAATCTCGACACCATCAGATATAGAATGACCTTGGACAAATCACTAACAATTGTTTATCTCGGATCATCCGTCCGTTAGTATACTGACTACGTTATGACGTACACCGATCCTTGTGACTAATATGTGGTTAGTTAGCGTGTACGAGGAGCTCAATGAGCGGAAGAATTCTGAATTTCCGACAACACCCTATGTCGCAAGATAGTCGAAAGGCGGAGATTCTTCTTCTTTTACGTTCGACACGCAGAACGTATATTTCTGATACTAAACAATCTTTTGAGCTGTGACTTAATGAAGTAATGAGGACATTTCATAACAATTTCCAATCTTTATTAGTACAAAATCAAGACAAGAAAAAACCTAACTAAATATAAAAAGAGAATTATTGAATACATTTTCTTTTGAGCGTATATTTTTTTATCTGATTTAATAGCTTTCAATAAATGTTGGGTGTGTGGATCGGTATGTTCTCTTCTCCCACATCCACACCTCGAAAATATATTGTAACATTTTGTCCATAAATCCCCTCCCATAATAGAAGCCTTCGTAGGCTTTTAAACTGTTCACTGTTCAAAGTTTTTGGAGGGACTTTCTATTATGGGATGAACTACTAATATGACTTTCGTACAGAAATTTTGAAAAGTATATAATGGAGTCATTGTTTCAGTCATCTTGACTATCTATTTGTGATGAGCTCAAAAAGTCATGTACAAATATACATAATTAGACTACTTCTTCCAAAAGAAGTTTGATGTTGTGGATGTGCGGGTGTAGGTGTGGACGTTTTTCTTTTTTTGATCTACACCCACAGTCACACCGCTAGCCACCCACATTCGCGTTTTCTTTATCATTGGAACCATCGGCAAGCAATATGTGAAGCGTTTTCTAGTACACTTTCTCACGTGCAGAGTACTTGCCAATGTAAACTATCAGTGCTGAGAGGAAGATCGACTTTGAAAAAACTCTGAAAACTCTTGAATGTAATACAAGCCTTGGGCTTCTAATAAATCTTTCATATCGACTGTTCTCTGGGAGGCTTCTAATACGGGAGGAGGTTTACAACCATTTGTCCATGGAACAAATTGTCTACGACGATCTGTCCTAGCGCCCTGAAAAAGCAGAAAAACCTTCGAAAAGCAGAAGAGATGGCAACACTGTATACAAATCAAAAGATTTCTTCCATATACAGATAAAGAATATCAACTGGACGTACGTACCAGATCTTTTAATTTTGTCAACAAATTGATTATTTCATCGATATCGATGTTTCCAGACTAATTTTTGAATTCCAGTTACTTAAAGTTCGTAAGATAAATTTTTATGCTATTAGATAGATCATATCTCAATGTATATTTATTATTATTTGAATCTATGAAAGAATGACTTTTGTTTTTTTATCTGAAGTCCGCTTGGATGAAGATCATGTAAGATGATTGTGTTTAGAAAATAATCTTTCGTATTAAATTCTGCTTAATATAATTTATTTATTATTTAATTATCTTCATAATATGTCTTACATATCTTTATTACACATCAAATACATTCTTACTAATAAATATTCTCTTAAAAATAGAAACCAATCGATTTTATATTGACGTACTTTTATTTTTTTTTTTTTTGTTTATTCGATATTTAATTCATTAAAAAAACAATAGTTTTTTTTATCCTGAAATAGAAAACTTTTTACTAACGATAATGTAAGATAACACTAATGCATTACCATATTCTTTTTCTTAAGGAAGTGACATTTATCTAATTATTATTTGACTTCCATCATAGTTATATGATATTCTTTAATGTATGCCAAATTTATTAGTAGTACAATTAGATGAGACTCATAGAATAATTTTAGCTAATGCAGATATTTTAATTGTAGTATATTAGATGTTCATTTATTCAATTAAATAACAAAATTAGAAGATATCATTCATGTAAAATTATCAATAATAATTATATCTAATTTTGAACTTTTAAAAACAAAAACCCACCGATGTGTTAGTTAATATCTTTGAAATGTTTAGGATATTAAGAATATTCTTCATGAATGTATATTCATTTGTATGATAATGAAATAATATTGAAATTTATTTTTTTTTAGGTTTACAGTTGCATTTACCACTGAACGTTTTGTTGTTGTTGCTTATCCATTAAAACGCTCTCAATATAATTCATTAAGTCGTTCTCGTTATGTTATACTTCTTCTTACAGCTTTAGCATTTCTTCTTTATTCATCATCATTATGGGCATCAGGTATTGAAGAAGCTAAACCTGAACGACGAAATTCTTCTCTACACGAAACACGTTGTGTTACATTACCAGAATGGCTTAAATTTACACGACATATGAATATAATAGATTTTTTTCTTACATTTATTATACCTTTTTTAACAATTCTTACATTAAATACATTAATTATATTTAAATCTGGTCAATATGATCGTTTATTAGAACGTAACTATATTCAACCATCAACATATATATTACATAATTTATTAGAACATCGTTTACGTCGTTCAAAATATCATCGACGTATAACAAAAATGTTATTAATTATTTCAACAACATTTTTATTATTAAATACTCCAATGCATTTATTAAAAATTTATTATTTTTTCTTTTCAATTGATGATACAAACGATTCTACTGAATCAATTATTGAAATGTTAACATTTTATTTGTTTTATACAAATTTTTCAATAAATTTTTTTCTTTATTCATTATGTGGAAAAAATTTTCGTTCATGTCTTATGGATTTAATTCAACATATTGGTAAAAATAAACAAACAACAAGTTTTTTTTCAAATGTTGGTGATAATCCATTAGTTCAATATTATCAACGTTCACATGATACACGTCATAATTCACGTTTTTCAAAACGTGAACTTAGTAGTACACTTAGTAGTGGAGGTATTAATGGAAATGCATTTATGTCAACATCAAATTTAACTACTGCAATGGCTACAGGTATTAGTCAACAAACATTACATCCATCATCATCAGCATCATCATTTAAAAAAAGTTCATTAAAAATTGAATTACTTACACCAACAGTTGTCAAATTTTATCCAACATTTACTATTAAATGAACAAACAAATTTATTTGAAATTCTTTTTTTTTTTTCGCTTTCTTTAAATGTATATACCTCGAACGTTTAACGAATAAAGAGGACTCGTTTTTATAGTTTAAAAATGAATACTTAGAAGAATTTTCTTTCGATTCTTTCTCATTATGATTAACTATTTCTACATCCTAGAGATTCGGAATTTTTATTACATTCAAACTTTTTTTTGGAGTTATGAGCAAATCTATGGAAGGCTTGAAAATAAAGTTTGAATGCAAAAAAATAGAAGTAAAATTTATTTCAAATGTATGAAATGAAAGAGCGCATGTTTCTCTACGAAATGATTTTCCGTAAGACATCTATTAACAATGGAAATTTTGATAAGAAGCATACCGACATTTTCGCAACTCCTTGATTTTCAGACTTACAAAATGCATTCGATTATTTCCGAAAGATAGCTTCGAGAGTCTCAGCTCTCAACGTATTGTATAGAGCAGAGCCTCGTTCGTCATGCTATACAAAAAACGGACATCATTTGCTGAGAAGAACATCTGTTCTCTAGGCACTGATCCAAGAAAATTCCAAAATGTGATGTGATCAACCGAAAGGAAACGAGACTTAAAGGGCGGCTGTATCCTCTAAGGTATCAATTTTTTTGATCAGTTTATAGAGCAAATGAAACTGCATATGATCTGAAATTTTCTTGATCGGTCGATGTTCTTTGATAGAGTTATGGCTTTTACAAGTTACATGATCTTTCGGACTTTCGACCACTATAAAATTTCAAAAAATTTTCTTATGAAGAATTTAGACTTGATTCTTTTTTTTAGTTTGATAGAGGAACAAAAACTGTATATATATATTCTAAAAGTTTTACAATGATTGAACGAGTATTTGTAGAGAAATCTTGACTTTTCTGGAAAATAAAATGCATTTATCACTGTCTACCAGTATTTTAATAAAAATCTTGCCAGAAATCTCAAATCCACGGTATATGACAATAGAAATCTATTATAACCAAAAGATGTGCTATCAAATCCTGCGTATACTAAGGGAAAAAGAAAGCATTCAAAAAAAAAAAGACGAATGTTTCTACAAGCTTTGTACGATAATAAAATCTGAAAATGCCTATTTTCAACTTGGGGTCATTTTTGACTTTCTCCGATTTTAGGATTGCGCCCTCGCTCCCCGCTCCTGGTATGAATAAAGGAATGCTTAAATTACTGTCGAACCATATTGATATATATTGTATTTCATTTATTCAAATGCTTATAGAAGTTATCGAAAAACTTCGACTCTTGGAAATAGAATCGGGATCAGTAAATGACCTTTTCCATAATCTTAAATAAAAATAGTCGATTTTCAGATCCTTATTCAATGTCACATAGTCGTTCGTTAATAAATATTGTCATACTCAAATAGTCATCATTTGATTTTCTTAATAGTTTAATGAGCAAACTATAATCATAATATGTGTAACATCCACTGAAAACAATGAGAATAAAAGCAACAGAGAGTTAAATACGTATGCCATATGTTTTTTTTATCATATGAAATGTGTAATTGGATATTGAATTTTTATTTCTTTTTCTTTTTATTTGAACAAGAATAAATCAAAACAAATTATCAATTTTTTTTTTTTTTGATGAAACTATTTGTTGTTCAAGTTGTTTTTTTATAAGTTCAAATGGCTTAGTAGAATATTCTACTGATTGAGAAATCTTATTGAATATATCAATATTTGCTTGACTAGAAAAGAAAATTGATTAATTTTGAAAAAAAAAAATGAATCTTCATTTTTTTGTTTTACCTTTGTCGATTACGTTCAGCTTGTGAAGGAATTTGTTTTCGAGTGTTTTTCTTTTCTGCTAGTGCTAAACGTTGTTCTTCAAGATAAGATTCAATCTGACCAAGTGAATTTTCAAATTCATGTTTCATATCACTAACAATAACTGTTTTTCGACGTGCAGCTCGTTCTTTGGCTTCACGTTTTGATTCATGATCTGCATGAAGACCTAAAGAAATTTGATTAATACATAATTGAAAATACTCAGTTTGTTTTTTTTTATTGTATTATTTTTCACTTATGTCAATAACAAGAAATAAACTTAATTTTTTTCAACAATCCATTATATTCAGACGAAAATCTTGTATGAAGATTCTATAACCTGAAGAGTTCTCTACAAAAAGTACGATTTGCTTTTTAATTGAACTTGCAATATTTGTAAATGAAAATCCATACTTTGAAAACTTTGGTCTCTTTTATTTTACGTTAGATAGCTAATGCTAGGTTTTTCAATAATCACTCCGCTAAACAAAAATTTATAGGATTGCTTTTTTTTTCGGAGTATTGAAAACAAAATTCACACATATACGCATTTTTACTTAATATGTCTACTTCTTTTCATTATCCTAATGCATAAATCATAATTACTATTATTTATTTTAAAATAGAAAAGAAATAAATATGAAAAGTAGAACTCTCTAAATTGAATTATACATTTCAAATTTTCTGTTGAAATTCATGATGTAAATGGCTCATAGAATAATTCATAATTTCTATAGTTTTTAGAAAAGCTTCATTTGTAGGATCTATCGAGATATGAGTTTAGTGATTCGCAGAAACTCTATTAAGCTCACACTGGTCCTATAAAAGTTTATTAGAATCTATAAGGATTCACCTGAGTCTAATAAGATATCGGTTCATATTTGTGCGCCTCATTCTCAGTCAGGAGATATGTGCTGTGTATCTCATTCTAGTGTTTGGTAGGCTTCTATCGGAATTATTGATATAAACTAAAAGAGATTAAATCAGTTTAGAATTCTTTGTTGTTTTGTAATTCATTTTAGAAATTGTTCAACTTACGTTTAAGAAGAAATTGTCGTTTTAATTTGATTTTATCTTTTTTCTTAGATACAAGTGATTTAATAGTTTTATTTGATATAACACTACGTTTATCAAAATCAATTTCATTATGTTCAGCTAAATCATTTTCATCATCATCGATTATATCATCCATAGGCTATAAATATTAAATAAAATAAAAAATAATAACAAAGAAAGTTACAAATATTAATCCTACTTGTTCTAATTCATCGGGGATAATTTCAATATTTTGTTTTGATTTTGTTTTATTTTTTTGATAACGAATTTTACCCATAATTATCTAAAATATTGATTGAGAGAAAAGCAAAGGGAGTATAATTTTATTTTGAAAATGCAGGTGTCATCTAAGATGTCAAATGCGGTATTATTAAAAAAACAAAAAGAATATAAATAAAAAAAAAAACAAACAAAATTGTCTATTTTTCTGTAGTATGATTGATTTACATTATTGAGCAGAATCGTTTTTGAGGATACATTTGATTCTCATCTATATCACCACCATCATAATTGCTTGGTAATTCTGGATGTGGACTTGGAAAGATACCACCAATATCCGGATTAATTGGTTTTGGTGCTATTTCTTCTGTATCTATTCCTAATAAATTTGACCATTCACCGAATAGACTATCAACATTCTCATCTTGAAAGAAGACATCAGATTCCGTCTAAAAGAAAAAATAATAATAATAAAAAAAAAGCGTTAATCTCAAAAAACACATCGTACCAAATCTTCTTTATCTTGATCAAGTTGTCTATAAATAATACAAAAAAAATTATAGAAAAAAACCGAAATATTTAAAATACTTACGCTTGATCTGCTTGTTTCTCAGTAAACATACGTAAGAGAAATTTACCTGGTTTATCAGCATCATATGTACTCGGCATAATAATATAACAACCAGGTGGAACACGAAAACGTTTTGTTACTTCACGTCGATTTATATATGATCCACTAGCACCAACACGTTCAAGTTGATTCATATAAAATTTTAAATTTCCTTGTTCAATATTTTCTTGAACATCAACACCATCTTTTATCTAATTATTAAAAACAAAAAACAACGCGCGTAATAAAAATTTTCTTTTTTTTTCATTCATAAATGACTAATAGTATTTTATCATCAGGAAAACATGATCTACGTAATTTATATCCTATTGCAGAAAATATTTCTTTATTAAATAATAATGATTTTCAACGAATATCATCAAATGAAAGTATTTTAACATCTATTGAAAATAATGAAACACAATATACAATTGATTTTATTCTTGTCTATGAAGAAACATTATATAATAATGATATAGATTCATTTGAACATGCACAAAAAGCTATGAGAAAAAATTTTGAAGCTAATTTACAACATTATGGTCTAATTTTAAATTATAGAAAATTTCCACTTAAAAATCAACGACAACGAGTTTTTGTTTTAATTACAACACCATTTGAAAAATTACTTGAAATGTGTGAAATCACTCGTAAGTAGAAAAAATAGATTTGCAAGTAGAAAGTCAGTAGTAATGATTAATAACAATTATAAGTTGATAATAAAGAAGAAAACTATTTGATTGAAACACTCTATGTGATATGTTTGTTTGCATTATCGATATATCGCGGTAGAATGGCAATCAGAACGTAGCCCATCGTTTTAATATCAAACTACCATCGATTGATTGTCGATCTACCAATGGTTTTTGTCCGATCTGAATCACTCGGAGCTTCAATGACTAATGTCAAGTTTCACCACGAACTATAAAAAATGAGATGCGCATACTAATAATTTAATTTTCATCAATATTTTTGATTGAGACAAATCTTTCTATTAGAATAAAATCAATGATATTTCTATACATACGATAGAATACATAACGAAAGTAGTCTCCTGAAGGAATAACGGTTTTTTGAATCAACACTATCTGTATTATGTAAACCTTAATGAGCTACGGATACCTCTCAGGAGAGTACGGGCTCTTAGTTTACTGCTGTGGTGATATTGTCTTTTTTAGTACTTTTTAACTCAATATCGTGATCTATCTCAGCAAAATTGGTTTTCGAATTTCGACCATCGCTTATACACGTGTAATAGATTTGATGTTCTTATTTCAGGATAGGAGCAAGCCAAAAGATCTAAAACTTTTTCAATATCTATTCTTGTTTCTTTGCAAAGTTTCAATTTGGAAATCAGTTTTTACTGGTATTCTTGAAGGGAAGCAGAAGATTGACTTTAAAAGTATCTTATAAATGCAGTATTAGCTAACTCGAAATGATTCAGCGCTTTTGAGCTCATACTTTGAGCATATAGAGGGGATCTCTAGACTAGAATAACTCTAAAAGGGTTCTGGTCGATAGGGTTCCTTTATGGAGTTATAGCAATTTTATTTGAATTTTACCCTATGGCACGGTATGTACAAACAGATTGACTGGTAATATTTCGACCTGAAATTTTGTTCATAGATAGGTCTACTTGTAATTAGAATGCTCTGACAATTTCAGCTGTTTCCTTTGAGAGATATTAAATGTCGATAAAACATGGGGTTTAAGTGATTTTTGAAAATCCAATCTCTCACGAAGAAAACATTCTTTTTAGCTGAAATTTTCAGGGCATTCTAATTACCAGTAGACCTATCTATGAACAAAATTTCAGGTCGAAATATCACCAATCAATCTGTTTGTACATATCGTGCCATAGACTAAAATTCAAGTAAAATTGCTATAACTCCGTAGAGGAATCCTATCGACCAGAACCCTTTTAGAATTATTCTAGTCTAGAGATCCTCTCTATATGCTCAAAATATGAGCTCAAAAGTGGTGAATCACTTCGAGCGGTTTCCTCATAAAATATTAAACTCTATTAAGGATACTCATAGCTCATTAGAGTTTACATAATGCATTTGTTGTCAATTCAAAAGTAATTAATCAATTAAGGGGGACTATCTTCTTGAGATCAATTTCTATAAGTACAAACGTCTGAATAACTGAGAACTAGTAGATTAAATAAAACTATTATTTTATTATCAACAACTTATCAATTATATTTAGGTACCTATTTACCATTAGATCGTATTAATCCTGTATTACGTCAATTACTCACTTATCCAACATTAACTTATGGTTTACCAAAAATATTTTTACCAGATTCAATTGTATTTGAAGAAAATAGTAAACGTTCTAATTATGTTTTTTATCCATATTCAAAACGATTACATAATAAATTTGCTCGTTATTTTATACATTATAATTCACGTATGACTAGTAAAGATAATATATTTACTATTGGTAAGAACTAAATTTTTCTTTTTATAATTTTTTCTATAATATATATTTTAACAGCACAACGAACACGTTTAACATTTGAAATACTTTCTCGTATGCCTTTATTACCACCAACAATAAAACGATTTCATTCAACAACAATTTCAAATCAATTATATTCAAGTAGAACAACATTTGAATCATTAACAATTAATTTAGTACCATCAACAAGAGTTAGTTTTAGTTCTATACCTCATGATGATATAATAAATAAATTAAATGAATTTAATCGACATCCTATTGCTAAAGTTCTTTCATCACATCAATATGCATATGGAATAAATATACTTATTAAAATTGGAATTTATTTAACTGCTTATCCACCACATGAACAATGTCATTCAAAATTTATTATTAATTATAATCAAACATTTAATACACGTGAATTACTTTATTTATATTGGGCACAAATAAAACATGTAAGACATAATGAAACGAAAAAAACAAAAAAAAAACCAATCTTTTTCTTTTTTAATTCATTGATTATTATTCGTTATTCAGATTTCAGATATTCAAAATACAACCTATTGAACTTATACGAGCTTATTTTGGTGAAAATATTGCTCTATATTTTGTCTATTTGGGTTGGTATACTTATATGCTTATATTACCATCTATTATTGGATGTTTTGTTGCGGGTTATTCAATTATAAATGTTTTTTTTGATATACCAACATTAGAAACATGTAATGGTAAATAATTCAATAATTTATATTGAGAAATAGAAAGCTCTTAACTATTGACAAGAACATAGATTTTTTTCTTTCAGCTATACATGTATTTTATAAAGATAGATATAAATGAAGAAAGTTTTCTAGTATAAGTTGAAAGAATTGATAAGTAAATGATGTAATCTTTTCCTGCAGAACCCTAATTTTCCAGTAAAATCATAATTCTGACTTTCGACTAAAAACTTTGCACAAGCAAAGATCTCAGTTAGACGAGCTTATACAAAAATTTTCTATGAAAAGTAAATTTTGGAACTGTGATTTCCAAAATCTATGAAACTTTTAATAAGAGTTAGTCTAACTGAGATTTATATTTAAAGGATACTCCCTCTTATCGAAATTTCTGGAGGACGGATCATCGGAAAAATAGGTCTTGACGAGTAGAGCAAAAGTTGTCATCCTGAATGCTGTCTTCTACAAGTATATTGAGATTAATGGTTCAAATTTTCGCTCCCATTTCTGCGAGATGTTACGCTCAATCGAGTAGAAAATTTATTTACAGACACTGGATACTGTTTCGGGTAGGCATCTTTTTATTTTTTGTCCTTCGAATATCAAAGATATCCTAAAAAATATATGGTTTTTTCAATAATAAAAAATATTTATTCCAAGCAGTCTAAAGTATGTGTGAAAAAAGTTTCAGTTCGATCGGATGTACTAGGCCAAAAAATGGGGGGAGGGTTGGTCGAAAATCGAAACTATGATTTTACTGGAAAATCGAGTGGACCCTCATGAGTAATTTATAAAGCAACACCAATTTGATCAATCTTAAACTCATGATGGACTTACAAATTACTAATACAGTCAAAGACAAAAGTTTAAACGAAAGTGTATTTTTGATTTTTTCTATAATAACAAGCATCTAACTGAAATCCAAATAGTGATTCGGATAGCCAATGAAGAGCTCTATCAAATGCATCCTATACCAAAATTTCATAGATGATTTAATGTAGCAAGGTTTCTGGAAAGCCAAAAACCGTATTTTTCAGGTCTCAGAAGACTTTGCAATAATTCGTTTTTAACAGTACAAACTTAAAGAACACAAACTTATGAACAAAATGAAGGGTCACCGCCTTTTCTATGACCTTCCTTTCAAAAGTTATAAGCATCACAAAAATAATAAAAAAATACGATTTTTAGCGATTTCTTGATATATTTCACTTTTTTCCCAATTTTTGTGATGCTTATAACTTTTGAAAGGAAAGTCGTAGAAAAGGCGGCAACCCTTCATTTTGTTCAGAATTTTGTGTTCCTTAAGCTAGTACTGTTAAAAACGAATCATTGCAAAGTCTTCTGAGATCTGAAAAATACGGTTTTGAGTTTTCCAGAAACCTTGCTACATTAAATCATCTATGAAATTTTAGTATAGGATGCATTTGATAGAGCTCTTCATTGGCTATCCGAATCACTATTTGGATTATAGTTAGATGCTTGTTATTATAGAAAAAATCAAAAATACATTTTCGTTTAAACTTTTGTCTTTGACTGTAGTTCAAATTATTTAGTAAACTTGTATGTTTCTTTGCCAATATATTAAATATCCATGTGATTCAAACCGAATAAACGTGTGACATGGATATCTATTAATTAAATGTGAATTTTTGTTTTTTGTTTTACCTAATTGATCTTTTTTTCTATATAAAATAGGTTCGAATATTAGTAAAGAATATCTTTGTCCTCAACGAACACGTAAAAAATATGTATCAATAAGTAATGAATGTCATACAAAACGATTTAGTACTATGTTTGATAATTATTCTACGCATATGTTTGGTATTTTTATGATTTTTTGGATTCTTTGTTTACGACGTTTTTGGCAACGTTATTTAGCTCGATTTCAATATCAATGGAATGCATGTAAAATAGTTCAATGAAATTATTTTTATTTTTAAATACACTTTATTTTTTTGTCATAGATGAAGATCAACGTCGTCATGAATTAACTCGTTCATCATTTTTAATACAATCAACAAAATCAAAAATTAATCGAATTAATGGTATTGAAGAACCTTTTATACCATTATCAATTATATTTATATGTCGTTGTCTTTCATTTTTTGTTATGCTTATTTTTATTGGTTTATCAACATTAAATATTATTTTAATGTTATATATACGTTTAAAATTATTTAAAATATTTCATTCAATTAAATATGAATTTATAAAAGAAAATTCATTTATTATTATAAGTATTATAACATCAACAATATCATTAATAATAAGTGTTATACTTGATTTTATATTTACTTATATAGCTAATATAATGACAGAATTTGAACGACATAGATATCAATCAAATTTTGATTCAAGTTTAACATTAAAATTATTTAGTAAATTAATTTTGATTTTAATTAAAAACAACTAAGACAGATAAAGGCCATTTTTCTGTCGCTCAATAACATTAACTTTTTTTTTTATCGTTTTGTAATAAAATATGATGGCGAGCTGCAGATCCAATCTTCTATTTTTTGTCGGACCCAGTTACATGTTTTTTGTGGACCTGCTGCTCCCCAACGTTGGATTTTTTTTCCTGATATTAGTAAATAAATAGCTAAAATCTTGATCCTTTACTTGTCTATGTACATGAAAATACTAGTTATTGATGTAAAAAATCTCGGATTTGGATCCGCGGCTTTATACAGGTCCCAAAAACTAATCTATGAAATACCATCATATTTTATTGCAAAATGATTTGTTAATATCTTTACTTATTCTAGTCCTTTGTTTTTTTTATCTTAGTCTTTGCATTTGTAAATTATTATTCTGTTCCAATTTATGCGGCATTTTTTAAACCATGGATATCATCATTACCAACAAATAAAATCTCTGGTACAGTATCCTATTTTGTTTTTACTGAAAAACTTGAACCATGTAATGATCTAACTGGATGTTCATATGAAATAAGTGTAATTTTATTAATAACATTAATTGGAAAACAATTAGTTAATGCACTTATTGAAATATTAACAATAAAAATTTTAAATTTTTTAAATTATTTTCATTATCATAAAAATGAATTAGATAATAATAATAATAATAATCAAGAAAAAGAAGATATTGAACAACAAAAATCATTTACATCAAAAACGGGTATTGTAAAATTTCAAATAGATGAATATATAACAAATGATTCTTCTTTTTACGTATTTGAGTTTTTATTAAGCAAAAAAATTCATTTATACTAGTTTATCTTCTATATTAATAGTATAGATGAATGTGCCAGGGTGGCCGAGTGGTTAAGGCGTTGGACTTAAGATCCAATTCACAATAGTGAGCATGGGTTCGATCCCCATCCCTGGCAAATATTTTTTTTTCATTCCGTTCTTCTTATAGACATAACTGATGACGTCACTATATATAGCTATGGAGAAATAACTACTACTACTACTACAGAACAAGCACCTTGGGAAACAGATATATATTTACAACATGTTGGACGTCAGCAACTATATGATGAGTAAAAAAAACAACATATTTTTCTTTTCTAGTATAAAAATCTTCTTTTTTTAAAGATATATTGAAATAATGGTTCAATATGGTTTTATTGCAATGTTTTCAATAGCTTTACCAATAGCACCATTTTTAGCTATGATTAATAATTTATTTGAACTTCGTACAGATGCAATAAAACTTTTATTTGAATTACGTCGACCTATTGGTGAATTTGCATATACACTTGGTATATGGGAAAAAATTTTTGATGCTTTATCAAAAATTGCTATACTAACTAATATACTTTATTTATTAATAACATGTGATTTAATATCGAAATTATTTTATATTTATATTAAAAATAAAATTACATTAAATGATTATCTTAATTATACATTATCATATTTATATATTAATGATTTAGATGATAAAGATGAAATTTTTGAAGGAAAACAATTAAATATAACATATTGTCGTTATCGAGATTTTCGATATGATTATGGTACAATTTTTTTTTTCTTCTTATATTTTACATAAGTTTTAATGAGACTATTCAAAAAAAATGTAAGATTTTTTTTTCTTATGAAACACGATCAAAAAAGGAGTATTAACGTAGACAGGATAGAAATTTTCGTCCATCGCGTCTTGATACACGGTTGGAAAAAATATTATTCCAGAGGGGTAATGCTATAATTTCAAATAGAAGACATAATGAATTTTATATCAAATGAAAGCTCGTCAAAAATGGGGTTTATTGATACTAAATAGTGAGGCTTGTAAAAACTTTCTAATGTCAAACTTAAGAAGTTTTCAGAAATTTTATATTTTTTTGGGGTGGAAAATCAAGGTGCCACTGATTCAAAAATGAAGTCAATTTTTTTTCTTGAATATTTTTACATGGTTTGATAGACCTCGTTGAGCTCTACAAAACTGTGCATGTTAAAAAATTTTTGAGGCATCTTTTTGAGATAAAAAGTTCAAAAAACTGCTCGGGAAACCTCAAAAATATTTAAAAACTCTTTTTTCTTCAAATTGAAGAAACACGCTCAATTTTTCAATAAAAGTAGCTTTTTTCGTTGTTTTTACTACCTCAGACGTCTCGAAATATACTCGTTCGATGCAGTGTGAAAAGCTGCGTCTAATGAGTATGTTTCGAAACGCCTGACGGAGTAAAAACAATGAAAAAAGCTACTTTTATTGAAAAAGTAAGTGTTGTTCTTCCACATGAAAAATATGAATTTTTTTCATATTTTCTAAGATTTTCCAAATAGTTTTTTGAATTTTTTATCGCAAAAAAAGTGTCTTAAAAATTTTTTAATGTATACAGTTTTATAGAGCTCGACGAGCTCTATCGAACCGTGTAAAAATATTCAAGAAAAACGTTTTACTCCATTCTTGAATCACTAGTACTTTAATTTTCCATCCCAAAAAAAGTATAAAATTTCTGAAAATTTATTAAGCTCGACATTAAAAGGTTTTCATAACCCTCACTATTTAATACCAATAAATCCCATTTTTAACGAGCTTTCATTTGATATAAAATTTATTATGTCTTCTATTTGAAATTATAGCGTTACCCCCCTGGAATAATATTTTTTCCAACCGTGTAGATTTCAAAAGTGGAAGAGACTAAAAAATTGACAGGCAGTTTTCCGCTCCCACTCACAGATCGTGACAGACATACCTAGCGGTGTCTCTTGGAGAGATAGAACCGATCGGTCTGAAGTCCATATCGATAGTAAACTGACGAGTTATCGTTTTCACATAATCAACTTTCAACACAATTTCATTAAGCATTCTCTATCGGTCGATCTGAAATCCGCATCGGTACCGGTTCCATTTCTGGTCTGTTCTTCATCACAGACGATATTATATATAAACTACTTCGCAGGCTCTAGCTTAATTTAGTTAGAAGGATTTAAATATACAATGTGATTTAACACTATCACAAAAGAATTCATAAGGAATAAACTTATCGTGATGATCGTCTTGTATGATACAGAAAGTACTGTTAAAACTTTTATCATAAACTACATTTAAGTGCTTAGAATTTTGTTTGAAAATTTTTAAACATAATTATTCTTCGATAGAAAATTATCAATTTTTATAATTATATAATCTGTTGTTTTTGTTTTTGAATATGATTACATAGATTCACCATATAAATATCAACCAACACCAATTTATTATCAAATTCAAATTATTCAATGGTTATCTATATTTTTTTTTATTATAATTACAATTATAATTTACTAGTATATTACTATACTATTTATAAAACTATAAAATTTTCTCTTTTTTTTTTTGTTTTAGTCTATTTATGTTTTTTGTTAATAATAAATCACGTTTAATTCGTGATATTCATCATCGTGAAGAAATTCTTGCTGAACAAGAACTTTGGTCTGATATAATATCAACAACAAAATTAACATAAAAATTTCTTACTTTAAAAACACGAAATTGTACATAATCTTCACCTTCAAGACCACGTAAACGACGTTGACGTGTTTCTTTTTGCATTAAAGCAATAATCATTGTACATAAATTTTCATTATCATCATCATCAATAAAATTTAATCGAACTAAATATTGTGGATTTGTCCAATATTTTTCTAAAGAAAAAATTTCAAAATTATGTAATTAAAATAATTAAATAAACCTTTATTTGGTTGACCACAACCACCGGCTGTTGAACCAGGAATCCATTCACCATGAAGCATTTCTTCTTTCCATGTTAATTTATCATCCTATTATATAAAATATATTTGAAATGTCAAGATCATTCACAATATATTAAGTCTACATATGAAAGTCAATATCTATCCGCAGTTTTTATTCGAATAGAATTTTTGAAATTCACTTTCATTTATTTTAGTACGTACAATGTTAAAATAAGCAAAAAATAAAATTGTCACTACACAATACTAAATTTCGCTTTTCTCAACATAGAAATCAGTTATCAAAAAATTTAGTCTGATGAAAGTTACTGATTGAAAATCAGGTTCTGAGAAAAATGGTAAATAAGTTCAGACGTGGATTTTTTTTATTCAAATTCAGAAAAAAAAGAAACATATTAAAATGGCATATTCATAAGATATCTAAGTGATATTTTTTAAAAGCTGCATAACAAATGACATAAGCTAGTACCATCTTTCATACTTAAACTATACAAAAATATTTATTCAATACGGATACAAGCGAAAAGTTAGTCTTCTCAAAATTGAAAAAAAAAGAATCCTTCAAAGAACAGGGTAATAGAATCGAAATTTCTTCCGGAAGTTTGTTGAAATTTGATCGTTGCTTTTCGAAAGATCATATATATTCTGAGAGAAGAAACTTCGCTGCATCTTTCCTATGGTAAATACTCAACTTCGAGTTCTTTCGAAAAAAGTAGATTTTCTGAGAGAAACCTATATGAAGCATACAAACTTATAAGGGAAGTTCTCGAACTGATTAATTGCTTTCAGATCGAGATTATGTGTATCATATAGATCCTTATGAACTATGAATAAAAATACCAGAAAAATTGATTTTTGAATTTACACAGAGTCAGATCTTAAAGACAACAGTTTATTGTAAAAGTTTCAAATCTTTTGATATGCTCCTATCCTGAAAGAAGGACATCGAATCTATCGGAGTATATAACCGATGTAAAACATACATTTTTATCATAGTCATATCTTACGAAGGAACCGTCCGAAGTGTTTCATTGCTTTTGACCCGGTATTTTGTTCCTAAGTAGAAGACCTGTACACTAGGAGAAGTTCAAGATGACATGGGTCCATGTTGAGATAGGGAAGTTTTATGAAAACCTTCCTGTCGAACTTTAATTTCCCAGAAAAATCATATTTCTGAATTTAGCATATATGAAGACAGCAATTAGGCTAGTTTATATAAAAAAATTTCAAAATTATTCCATGTAGCATAGCCGAGACATGAATTCTTGGTTATGCTATATGAAATAGTTCTGAGATTTTTTGTACGAAATAGCCTAGTTACGATCTTGATATGTGAAAAGATTCTGCTGAAATGCCAGGGTTCTACAGGAAGATTTCAGTAAAACATTTCTATCTCAGTCAAATCACAACATGAACCCATAGCATCTTGGATTTTTACTAGTTTACAGTCCTGCTACTTATGAGTAAGATATAGGACCAAAAGTGATGAGTCATTTTGAACGATCCCTCATTAAAATCTATCTCCGTGCAAAATTCCAAGTCGAAATTCGAAAAATTAATTCTTCTTGTGTTCCTGAAGGAACTATGATATTAAGCTAAAAATGTAACATCTCCGTAGCAATAAGCTAAGAGTTTGAATTCTTTGGAGGGTATTCATAAATGATAAGAATTCATGTGATGTACATACTCTTGACTCAAAAGTGATTAATCAATTGATAGAATCTTCTCGTCAATAGTAAATAAAACCGATTCATATTAGAAATTTATAATGCAACAAAATCTGTCGTAAAAAGAGAAAAATTTCACTTAATTTTCTATACAACAGCATATTTGATTTTTATATAATGTTTTTCTTTTCATTTAAAAAAAAACTGCGTTATATTGAACTAAATTTTATAATTAAAGTATGAAATCCTTACTCGAAATAAATTGCTCCATGTACAAACATTAGCATCTGCTTCTGTTGTACCTAAACTAGCTGGTCCTCGATGACAAATATGTAATTGATGAAAATTGACAAAAAAATCATCAAAACTCATCCAAAATTCTCCATCATGTAATGCATGTACACCTAATTCTTGTTTTTCTTCATTACTAATTTCATCCCATGCTTTTGAACTAAATAATAAATTAAAATTAATTTTTTTTTTTGGTTTAATTTATTATACTTACTTATCTGAATATTTTCCATTCCTTAAAAACAAAACAAATATTATTTTATTTTTAAATCATTAAATTTAACTAACCATTCAGTTTCATTTCCCCATGGATCTAAATTAAAATATAAATATATAAATAAAATAATAAACTCTAAAAAAAAAAAAAAAGTTAACCTACTTAAACATCTAATAAGAGTAATAGAACCGGAATTAGTCGTTACATCAGCAACACGTGTTATTGAATAAGCATGACCTAAAAATAATAAATTACAATCTGAATTTCTATCATTTATGATTAATAAACCTTTAACAAGACCATTCGAAAGTCGAGCTTCAGTGATTTTCGGATCAGCCTAAAATGTTGATAAATAAACATATTAATCTTTCATATGATTTTAATTCTTTTTTTGTGTTTTCTTTACAGTAATTGAACATCCAAGCATTGATTTACGTAGATAAGCTTGCCAAAGAACACGTTTTACTTGTTCTTTAAAATCACTAGTTGCTGTCGATGGATTATTAAGTTCAAATGCTTCTTCAATTCCACCAGTCATATCAATTAAAGCATCTGTTGTAAAACCACCTTCCATTGCTTCATATGAACCACATAATCTTAAAAAACAAAGATATTTCATCTTTTTTTTTCCAGATGAAAAAAAAAACACATTTCATACTTTGCGTAAGCTTTTTCTAATAATGGAGACCACATTTCATTTTTAGTTTTTTTATTATGACAAAAGACAAGTCTACCATCTGAATGAAATGGTAATTGATCATCAATAACAACATCATACCATTGACCATATAACCAGAATCGAAAATGAAAAATTCCTTTTTAGATAAAAATCAAAATTATTCTCTTTTTTTTTTTGAATAATTTTTAAAATTTCTACCAGCATAATCTTTTGTATCAAATGATTGATTTTTTGGAACAACACGTTGAAGAAGATCAGGATTAAGTGTTACTGCACCAGCACCAGCAATAAACCAACAATTACCTAATTAGAATTTATATTATTAATATAAAAAAGAAAAAAAAGACTACTATTGAATTTTAATTACCAATTTCACCCTGATCAAGATCACCACGTTGATATCCATCAATTACAAATTCAGGACGTCGAAAAACTATCTAATAAGAAAAAACGAATTAAATTTTATTTTTATTCAAATCAATTTTCTATACCGGTGGTCTATGCCATTGAACATCATTTAAAGATTTTCCTGAATGATATATTGATTTATTTGTGGCCGAAAATTCTGGATCAACAAATAAATTTTGTGAATTATATTTTTTTTTAAGTGTTTCATAAACTTGATTTTTATATGGTTGAATATCACACATATTTTCAATAAATCTTATTTTAAATATTATTTTCTCTATAAAAATTAAGTTGTACACATGAAATCAATGATTCATCGACATAGCAATGATTGGCTCGTAATGTAACGATATCAATCATCAAGATTTCCTGTTGCACGTATAGGTGTTTGTTTTAACACAAAACAGAAATAGAAAAAAAAAAGAGGTCGACTGTAAACAATATGCTAGGATAAGTAAAATATTTTTCTTATGTCATTCATTAAAAATTTAATAATCATGAAAAACAAATATGAAATCCAACGATCAATTTTATGACTTATTCTAAAACAGTGCGGTATAATGAATAACCGCATTTTCATATATAGCACAAGACGTAATCACGCACATTTCATAAGAAATTTCCAGCAGAAAAAAAAATGAAAAGCGAAAAAGATCATATCAAAAGATTAGAGAAAAATTACAATTAGATGACACAGAAAAATACATCAAGGTGAGTAGTTGAGTTGAACACGGTGCTCATAAGAATCGATGGTAGTACTTATGACTATCAGTTCCAATTATAAAAGATTACAGAGTGTTTTCTACTCAAATTCGAATTAACTGAGAATTTTGCTAATAAAAATCCTTGCAACACCATCTATAATAAAAGTTTATCTCATTGCTGTCCTAGTGAATGTACTCATCAAGAGAGTACTCAAGTAGTACTCACGATAGAAAATGCCGCGAGAACTCATGAGTACTCAAAAATTAGATACGATCACTGTACATGTTGATGTTGAGCTTTGCAGCAAACAATAAACCATATAATGAAGATCGAGTAGCTGTATGATGTATATGATTATCTGTTTTAGTATTCGATAAATATTCAAAGTACTCATTTGAGTAAGATGAGTACTCATGCTGGGAATTTTTTATTGTAGTGGGCAGACGTTCTTTAGAATGAGATGTAATATTTTGATAAAAATATTGAGCTTACTAGAAAACTAAACTCAAACAAACCACCTGAAACCAAAATAAAAAATTTCAGCATGAGTACTCATCTTACTCAAATGAGTACTTTGGACATTTACTGAGTATGAATATTTATCGAATACCAAAACAGATAATCATATATATCATACAGCTACTGGATCTTCATTATATAGCTGATTGTTTGCTGCAAAGTTCGCACTCAAAACTCAACGGCAATACACACAATGATCATATCTAATTTTTGAGTACTCATGAGTTCTCGCAGCATTTTCTATCGTGAGTACTGCATGAGTATTATCTTGATGAGTACATTCACTAGGATGGAGCCGATTTAGATTCTATAGCTAGTACAGGCGGTTCAGTCGCATCCAAAACGACTCAATTTTGTAAGGAGAGATAATAATGTCTTCTGGTTTGGTTGATTGATTGAATAAACCTTGATTAATGAATTGCAATAGTTTGTCAAAGAAGGTGGTCAGATTTTGATAGAATTCGTTCATGCATGTGCTAGGTTGTCCTCTTAGGAGCGATTGAATACAAGCTTTTTTCATATAGTATTGACATGTTTGGTTGACAATGGTTTTATGTATTATATAACAAACAATTAATTCTTCTTCATGTTATTCAATATTTTCGTTCAACTATCAAACTGGTCCCGGCCGACCGGCGTCTTTTTTTTGCCACTACCGGTGAATACTACCAGTATATTGCACATTATACCGACGATTATATTAAGTAATGAAAAGATGAAATGCAGCCATTTATCATATTCTATCCTTATTTTGATAGCCAGGCAAAAGATATCTTTCCTATAATTTTATCAAATCAATTGATTTCCTTTTAATATTGACAAAATTATACTCATAGTTTATATTTGAAATATTGCTTTTATGCATCATCATTAGTCTTAATATAACAAACTATTATCTTGTGATGAGTTACCAGAAAAAAAAAACTTCGATAGTCTTCTAAATAAATTCTTTTTATTTATATCTGCAAACGAATAACAATAATATAGAGACTGAATCAAAAATATCTTTCTTATGTTGTTAAAGTTTATATTATTTTTTTTGTATGAAATAAATTGTGAAATCTTTTTTTAGAATATGAAATATGAATAATTTCTTATTAGCCATGAAACTATTGATCTATCGGATAAACTACCAAGAAATATTCATTTTTCTTCCAGTTATATGATTTTTGGATGTTTGTATAAACCAAACATTTAAATAGTTTTTGTTCTTTCGATCGATTGATTTCACATACGAAAAAGTTCATCACAATAAAACAATATGCGTACTTATTGCAGAAGACACCTTATCATAGTCACATCTAATCGCTTAACACAACTCAACTTATTGTTGTAAAAAAACCTACAAAAAAAAATGTTGCCCGTAGTTTTTTTGAGATTTTTCAGCTGAAAATCCTAATGTCAATCGATTAATTAAAGTTCTAATTTTGTGAGAAAATAATTAATTAAGGAGAGTCTTCTATGACAAGAAGAGATTTATGACTATTTGTATAGCTTTATCAAAAGATTTCTATTCTTGTTTTCGTTTGAAACTAATGAAACCATCATTTTATGATCCTTTTAAACGATGCATACTTTGCGAATTTCAACATTCATATAGAATTATGTACTTTAAATGACAATACAAAAAATAAAAATGTTTTCTTGAATAACTCTAATCATATTTGTAATTGTTTTAAAGTAATAATACCAAAAAAAAAATATTTTTATAAGTCGATCAACAAGTCTATCTTTTAATTCATCACATTTCTTATACATTACTCCATCTATGTTTTTCTCAAATGTTTGGAATATTACTGGTAACCAATTACAACATCGGAGACGCTAGAATCACTTTTCATATATTCCAATACAAGTAGCGCTATTAACCATAAAGTCCTTATTTGAGATTGGCTCGTCTTATGTTTTGTCAAGGTCATTGATTCCTTTTATTTCATATTGTATATAGTTTATCTGTTGAATTTTATTGTTACAAATCACTTTATACTAATGCATGTTTATTTCATTTTTGTTTTGCTCTTTACAATTATCGAAGAACACAAATATATACCTTGTATTTCATCGATTTTTTTTTCATTCGTTCTCTTCTTGATAAAGAAATAGAAAAATATTCTTAGGCTTTTTTTTTTGCACCGATTTACGGTTATTATATCGTATACGATTTCTTTTTCTTTTGCGTTCGTTTGCTTCTACAGCAATAATGTGAGAAGTTACTGCTGAAATAAAAAAAGAAAAAAAGGTATTTTGTTTTTCTTATTATTCTCTCGTTCGGGTTGTTGCTTGTTATGTCCTTGTCTTATGCATTGAATCGTTACATGATTTTTTTTTTCCATCTTCTAGATTGAAATTTTTCTTATTAGATAAAAAAAAAGGAGAATGAATTCATTCATTGTTACTTTAGCCGGTCTCTTTCTAATCTATGCAACGGTCATAACAACTGGTTAGTAATAATACTTATTCTTTTTTTTAAATTGTTATATTTGATTTTCTAGTTTATTGCGTTAATGACAGAGATCTTACATTAACAAAAGATGAAATAATTGCATTAACACGTGATCATAATGGTCGTATTGATCCGGATGCATTCCTCAATGGTTTCTTTCCTGTTTGGGCAGCAATTCAATTTTTAATTGCTTGTAAATTATTCTAACAATAAAAAAAAAACAAAATGATACATTATTTTTTTTGTTCATATATTTAGGCTTCTTTTTCATTGTTGCTGTACTCAGTTTTGTATGCTACATACTCGGTTGCAGAACACCACCGGAAGAACGAAACAAACGAGCCAAATAGAATAGTGCAAAATGACGATTGTTTTCTGTCTCTCTTCTTTTTTTTTTCTTTTTTCTTCTTTCCTATTTTCTTTTATTATTATTATTATTATTTTAAAACTTAATTCATGTCTATTCCAAAAAAATTTCTTACCATCTATCCTGCAATCTAATCAATATAACAGTTTTTTTTTGTGTTTTATTTAGCTAAAAAAAAAAAAACAAGAGAATAGTGCGTATTTGTATTGTGCATTGTTTGTTTCCTTTTTTTTTTGTATGGAAATATTTTAGTTTGAATGAAACTTTCGAATTTTTTGAGATATTTTAGCAAAAAAAGAAAAAAAAAATCTTTAGTACTGTATTCTATAATATAAAGTTGTTTTTAAATGTATGCTTAAAAGAAATTCTTTCACTTACTCGAAATAATGCTAATTATCAACGAGAAAATTGAGTTTTTTTTTCTCTCTTTGACAGAAAATATAAAGATTATGATTGAAGCAAAAATATAGAGAGTCAATGCTTATAATTAAATATTAAAATTTCGAATGAAAATGCAAAATATTGATATATTCATTGAATTTTATTTTTTAATATATTCTTGAATAGTGTTTGCTAATAAATTTTTCTATACTTCAACGATCATATTCTCTAGTTGATTTTGTGACTTTGGATTTTTTCATTTGATAATGTTTTATTCTACCTCAATAGCATTCAAGACAGAATTCGAACTTAGCTTTTAACAGGCACAATGTAAAATAGAGAATGTATCAGGAAATACTATTCAAATATATACAGTAAAGTCTTTCTTAAATGCCTAATATAGGGGTTAGATATATGTTGGATCAAATTTTTTGGTCCCGGTGAAGAGAAAATTTTTCCCGGATCTATTCGTATTACGTCTAAGAAATTCTTCAATATTCATTTTTTTTTTATTTATTTAGTCAACATTACTATACTGTAAAAATACGTGTAGAATAAGACACCCTCGCTATCCATTTATTACTATTACATAAACCCACTTTAGGTTTATGAGCGTAATCTACCCTTTCATAAATCTCGGCAAGAGTTTGTGATCCGTTGCAAATTCATATACTCTTGCACTGTTTTCTGTGTTCATAAATCCTTTTTGAGTGTATGAACGGAATAAACCCTCAGTTGAAGAGTTTATTATTCTACAGTTGTGTTTAAAATGTACAATGATAAACTCTTCATCTAAGATTTTATTTCATTCATATATCTAAAAATGGTTTATGAATATAGAAATCATTACAAGTGTATATGAATTTGCAACTAACCACAAACCTTTGCCAAGATTTATTAACAGAAAGGGTTTGTGTAATAGTAATAACAGGGTAGTGAGAGCTTATTATTCTACACTTTTGTTTTTTACAGTTTATAATTTAGTTTTGGTTGGAACAACTTGTCTTTCTTGTCGTCCCGGCAAACCTTCAGATTTTGGTCCTGCAATATTTCTAGTCAAGACTTTTAAAAAGTGTTCATCTATTGAAGATATCATATGTTTTACAGCAATATGAAAAAAAGTTTTAGAATATCAGCTTTTTTACTAGTTTTGAAGTAATTAGTGATCATTGTTCGTCTTCCTTCATTCGAATATTTATGAATCTAAAAACTTTTCAACAGAATAGAAAATTTTACTTTGTTTTACAAAGTCCTATACTATTGTTTTCGTCTCGATATATATGAATTTGATGAATATTGCTGTATGGTTCATTTTATATTTTGATTCTGTTTCTTTTTTTCTTGCGTTTTACAATATCGGATCAGTAGCAGAGCCAAGATTTTGGACTGGAGGAGACTGAGCTTCGCTGACTCTGCCACAGTATTGGATACAGAACCAAGTGAAATATTTGATCATTCAGCTAATTCACATTGTGATAATTCATTATCACTGTTATTATCATTAGTTAATTCAATGTTTTCTTTTAATGTAAGATGATATTGTGTTGTCATTACTTTCTCTGATATGTACATTTATAACAAACAATGAACAGTAGTTTTAGTTCATTAGTCATAAATGATAAAGAAGAAGGAGCGAAAGAGAGAAAAAAAAACAGGCAAAAAAAAGTTGCTCTGTAGCATGGAGACCTTATTCAGAATGAGAAATGTTTACTCAGTGGTTTCACTGTATTAGAAAAAAAAAACAGAAACTCAAATGGTATATCAGTACTGTGTATCTTTATTCGAAATGTTTATTATAAGTATGTACTTTGTCCCATTTATGTAAATCTGTTTATCTATGCTTTGATCATAATCTATATTTTATGTCAAAAAAAACAAAACAAATCATTCGTAAATTGTTTTGGTGTTGTTAATAAGCTTTTACTGACGCATAACATGAATAATTATTTCTGTCATAGTAAAGGTCTCGTCTAGGAATAATTGTATGGAGACAAGGAATGTTGTACCCATTTGTATTCGACCTTTGTCGTAACTTATATAATTAACTATAGGCAACGAGAAGTTGTAATTTGCTATGTAATTAAGCATTTATAACATATTATTTTTCTATCAAATTAATTTCATTCGAGTAGTTTATCGGTATATTAATAGCATAAAAATGCTACAATTCTTTTAAATATTTTTTTTAATATTAATAATGATTTGCAAAATATTCGAGAAGTGTATTGATCGAAAATGATTTTTTTCTTATATTTTGAATTATACATAAACTTTAATGTTTTTGCCAGATATTTTGACTACAAATAGAATTCGATCAATTCTGATCGTAATTATTAATCGAAAATTTTCAACGTTGATTGTAATCGTAAAATTTCCCGGGGAGAAATTTGATTAGAATAAGGAATTCAATGAAGAAATTCTTGAAGACAAAAAGTCTAAATTAGTCAGAATTATGGATCATTTTTCGATCAATTCATGTAAACAGCAACGAAATTTTTGTACTCAACGAAATGAATAATACATTAAAATTAAAGAAAAAAAAAATAATAGCGAATTTCTCTGATATATATATATCAAAACACTTGAATTTTTTTCAATACTTCATCTAGAATATTTATTTATTATATAAATACTATATATCATCATCAAAGATACTTTTTAAAATGAATTGAAGTAACCTAAACTGTTTTTGAATGTAATTAGATTGATTATTTCTTTGAGACATACTATACAAATCTTTTAATTTAATATTCATTTGTTTATTATTTTTTTGTGGCATAATATCAAATATAATCTTTCATAGTTATATACGTACAATCACAATCATTATTAAATAAAATAATTTATATTGACATTGTAAAAATTTCGAAACTATTTTGATAAACAATAATAAAATTAAATTTCAAATATTCATTTAGTTCTATGTATTTCATTGATAAGTAAAACTAATCGTCGTCGTCGTCTTGTAAATCTTACAAAAAGTCTTCTATATGCTTCACGAAATCGTGGTTGAATAAATGGATAAAGAATAGGATTAACTGTTGAATTAAGCCATAAAAGCCAAAAAGCAGCTGAATATACTTGTCCATTAGTATCGGTTAAAACTTCTAATGAAAATATTCGTCCAACGACAACAACAACAACATAAGGTAATAAAAAAAACATAAATACAAGTACTAAAGTAAAAAGTGATGTAGCTGCACGTTTATCGCGTCTCAAACGTCGAACAATACGTTGTTCACCTGTACCAGTATTTGCTGTTGAACGTAATTCTAAATCTGACGGTGATGTAAGAACAGAATGATGACGCCATACAAATATTGAATGTTGTTTAGATTTTTTTCTTACGGATGGTCTAGGAAATGTTTGTGTTGATTTTGATGAACGATGTTCAATTGGTAATGGTTCCAATTGACTTGTAGGTGGTATAAATACATGTTTAAAACGTGAATATATATTTGTTGATTGTCTTGAATCAAATTCAACAAATGATGGTAATGGAATTGGTTCAAGTTCAACTGTATGATCATCAATTGGTATCTCAACAATATCTTTATTATCTGGTGATGTTTTTTCTGAATGAAGATTATTATTATGCTATAATAAAAGACATAAAAAGAAAGGTTTAACATATGAATAAGAAGATTTAGTTGAAAAGTGAGTTTGAAAACAAAACAATGATTTTTCAATATGATTTAGCTCGAGGTGTAAAAGTCTGTTTGAAAGTTTAAATAAGATAAAAAAAATTATTGTTGAATTTATGCTATTTATTTAATGATTTTTGTTTCATTGCAATGAAGGAAATTTAACTAATTAAATTCCTTCGCATAAGAGAAGACCTTCTCATAATAGAAGATTCCCTGTGGAGAAGCAATAAGTCGGATGTAATACAAGATTTTCCTTCATTAATTAGTTTCTCGCAAAATAGAAAATTTAATTAGGATATTTATTTTACAATATGTCCAGCTTCCAGGGTTTTAATCTAAAAAAATCTTAAAAGACTGAAATCAACATTATTTTGAATCATCTTTAGCCCTAAAAAAAATCTCTTTCGAAATCGTTTTGATTTGTTTAAAAATCTTTTTAATTAAAAACAATAAAAATCAATGAGACACTATAGAAGACTACTAGGAAAACTTTGTATATTTAGGCATAATAGAAGTTCTAGGATCTTCTATTACGAAGAGATGTTCATTTAATTTTTAAAACAAAATGAACTCAACAACTAGAGAATTTGCTGTAGAGATTTTATGAAGACAAGTTAAGTTATTATTTTATGATTCTACTGAGATGAACTTTACCTCTGAATCTATTTTATTCGATAAATAGCAGTTGGATTCGTTAACAGCTGTCATTATTTGTACGTCATTGTCAATCTGTTGTACATGTTGTTGTTCTTCTTCTTCTTTATCTACAGTTTTCTCATGATAGTCTTCTCGTAATATACTTGTCCGTTGTTGCAGTTGTTGTTTATATTGTGGTACTCGAAAACTAGCAAAAACAGGAAAACGATGTGATCGCTTATAAAGATTGATAACAATCAAAGCATTAAGTACAATAATAACTACCAATGGCCAAGCAAAAAAATTAATTTGAGCAATAATTAAATATAATGTATGTGAATGATAGGCACCAATACATTCAAATTTTTGTTTTGTTGTTATATTAATATCAAATTGATTTAATAATTGAGTATCTTGATTTAATTCAAGAAACCATATTCCCGGTGCAAAATTAAGAAATGGAATGAGCCAAATAAGTATAGAAAATATTCGTATACGAGTTTTTGTTGTATGACGACGATAATGTACACTATGATTTATACTCCAATAACGTTCTATAGTTATAGCAACAATTGATAAAACACTTGCCATTGTTACAACATCATCAATAGTAATCCATATATTACAAAAAAGTTTTCCAAATGGCCAAGAATTTTGCATTTGAGCATATCTTTAATTTAGAAAAGAAAAATCGAATTTTTTTTTTTGGTTCTTATTTATAAAAACTTACGAATAGAATGGCATACAAATAAGACCAACTAGAAGATCAGCAATAGCCATAGATAAAAGAAAATTATTTGATGGTGTTAGTAAATGTGAATCATTGCAAAAAGCAAATAAAACAACAAGATTACCACCAATTGTTAATAATATGATTAAAATAATACCAAAACAAATAAATATAAATTCTATTGATTTCCACGGAAATGACATTATCGATTATACTTGTCAATAATTTTTCTTTTTATAAAAATATTTTATGTTACGTATTGTTTGTAATTCTATTCATATCTGAAATGAGTACATAAGTGTATAAAAAAGAAAAGAAAAAGAGTTCGTAATATATATTCAAGTTAATGATCATTAATTTTGAAATAATAGAAGACAAACAAAATAAGAGAAAAAAAAAAAAAAGAAAATATCTATTCATTTTTTATCATCTTTCAAAATAATTGTAGATAATTAGGTACACTATTCAAATATGCAATATGACTAACTTCAAATTTTAACCTAAGAACAAAGATAAATGACCGAATAGAGAAGAAAAAACAAAGAACACAATGATTTTCTAGCTATCCTTTTCTTCTTTTGATTGATTTCTTCTTCTTTTGTATTTCTTCTCTTCTTTCTTTTATCTCTGTCATCACATAATTTATTCACCAACTGTGGTGGTTGTCAGAGAGAAAGAATGGTGACGGTGGCAAGATCGACTACAAATGGATCTATAATAGAAAATATTCTCTGTCTTTCTTTTTTTTTTCTGTATAGATATATCTGAAGAAAAACTTCCGGTAGTCATTCTCCTGTATCATTAAAAAGGAAACCATGGGTTCGAATTAGTTTTTTTTCTTCTTCGTCAAAACGCGTATGCTTTCTCTTAATTAAATAACTAAAAAAAGAAAGAAGTCAATAAATTTTAAAAAAATATATGTATGTATATATCACCATTTTATATCTAATGACGTCAAGTATGTGAAATTTAGTAAGTTTGCTTTATAAATTATGTGAAAAACCGGAAATTATAATATTCTTACTTTGACGTAATTCTACTTAAAATAAGAGAAAAAAGAAAAACTAAGACTTTGATGATAACTGTAATGAAATATCACAAGCATCGTTGTCATTTTTGTAATTAGAAGGGGCTTTTGTCTTTTGTTTCTCTAAAAATATTAATGGGCCGTAGAATTTTATTTTTGGTACCGTTGTATGATGTTGTTGATGACAGATCATTTGGACACGATAGCCTGTCTGTTCTGGTTAATGGTAATCTGATGACATGGGTGATGCTGTTTTCTAGAGCTTTTCTTCCTATTTCTCTTATTCTTTTCTGTCTTCTCTCCTTTCGGATTCAGTAAATAGCTGTCGATGCCAGAAAAATTACAATATGCGCTCTCATAATATTATCAAGTTAAGTTCTTTCTCTATTTTTTTTGTCATGCTTTTTATTTGATCGGTAAACCTTCTCTCTCTCTCTTTTTTCTTCTCTTTCTCATATGTGTATTATTCTATGAAAATAATAACTATATTTTCGATGATATTTATAAATTAATAATTTCAACAAGAATTAAGAATTACGAAAATAATTGATAATTTAATTTGTTCATGTATGTTTCTGTTCAAGAGAGTTCAATTGATTATACAAGATATACACTGTATAATTATTTAATAAAAAAGAAAAAAACTAGAATTAAAAATCTAAGTCGATACTCTTATCGTTTGATCACTAACTATGACAAATAAGATACGATAGAAAGATATAGTATGTATCATATTTGAGATGTGCAGGAAGATATTAACATATCAAAAAAGAAACAGCTCTCATAACAAAGATCAAATAGAAATGAAAAACAAAATATGATCTGGTATTACGATAAAATGACGACATTTATTTTCATATTTCATTAGTTCTTTTTGTTTCATACTCATTAAACTTGAGATAATATCGATCGTTTCGGGTATGAAAGAACGGGAAATCTTATTCATACTTTCATGCTAAATGAAGTTTTTGAAAAACAAATTAGATGGCAAAAGTATACTTGTATATTTCTGCCTATATCGTAAGTATTTCATCGAAAATAAATATAGAATAATAACATTGTTAAGTAGTTGACAGTATAATTATGAATGATGAATGGTAAAAAAAAAACCGTCTTATTTGTCAAATTGAAATCAAATATTTCTTTCATAATAATAAAAAATTTGATATAAATGACAAGACAACAAAAGTGATAATTGATTATTTAATTATTGTCAACAGAAAAAAAAATACAATATGATAATTTAGATTGATTCTTTTCTTATTTAAATAAATGATATTTATTAAAATAAATCCATAGTACAAAATGGAATTAGAAAAAGAAAAATGTAAATAAGATTAGTCTCGAATGGTTACAAAATAATATTGAATTTTCAAAAATTTATTAATATAGATTGAAAAGTAATTGATTTTTGTTATATTCAATCAGCTGATAATATTGACAATCATTTACTGTTATTGTTGTTGTTTTTTCTCTTAAGAAATCAAATAAATACATAATAATAAAATATAAAATTTTTATTTTTATTTTTCCTATTAATTTAGACCAAAAACTTATAATTATAAAATTCTTTTCAAAATTTATCAATTGATAATGATTTTATTATGATCATGAAAAAATATCTCGAAGAAAAAAAATGAGTATCCGATTGTTGATAATTGCCAACGGACATCATAAATATTTATATAAAAACAAAACATAATGATTTCTTTTATTTTTAGTGTAATCTTTTATTTGATAGTATAAAGTCACATATACCTTCAAAGTTGAAGGTACGCAATATATATAAAGAATATTTCAACACTTATCAAATTAACTATTTTATGTTTGAAGTAATTGACATTTACATATTATTTGAATAAGTGATTCGCAATTATTTTGAGTACTAATCAAGATAAACCAAAAGTGATAGATGATATATTAGAATGAATGACATTTTACAAAATACATCTGTCATTTTCATCAATAAATCAAAAAATTGTAATATATATTTCGAAATAACAAGAACATTTATTTGATGAGAATAATTTCTATAACATCAAACGAATTTTATTATCTTTTTTTTTCTTAAGATTTTATATTAAATGTAATACAATAAAATATATTTAAATCAACAAAAATCACAATTTAATTAACCATTCTATTAGAAAAGAACAAGAATAGAAATAAAAAAAAAAAAAAAGATGGAATGTTCTGTGCAGGTGTCGAACCTGCGACCTTCTGCGTGTTAAGCAGATGTGATAACCGCTACACCAACAGAACTCCGAAGTCTATATTCTCATTTATAGTAGTCAATAAGACTTATTGTTTAGATTCATAGGTCGAATATATATTTGTTTTCATATACACAAATAATCTTAAATATTGTCTGATTTATTCAATAAAAAAAAACAAACATTATATCACATTTCAAATTCAACAGGACGAAAAATTAAAAAAAATATTATTAATATTTTAATAGAATATTTGTTTTTTTAAACTTGTATTTCTTCAGAGAATTTTTAACATTGTTAGATATTCATGAATAATTTCTTTTTGTAGTATTGATCAATATTCAAGAAATAAATCCAATAGATCTGATTTCGTTTGAAATAAAAGAGATTAGTATACCCTTGTTTTTCAATACAATATAATAATTCATTGACGAATGAAGAAAAAGATCAGATGAATTCAATATATAATTTCTGATAATATAAACAACAAGAAAAATGAAATGAATTAATCATTGCACACATATTTAGCATATCTTCTTTATTAACATTCATTCAATGTTTCAAAACTATTCTAACTCATTATAGTATTTGTTTAGATAATAAACGAAGATGAAAAAGTGCATGAAACAATCAGACTTTTTCATCAAGATTCTATTCATCGAGGCAATGACATGCATCTGCTACCATCGCAACGAGCATACGCTCATTAAGATTTGTCGCACATTATTTCCAAGAAAAAGAAAACAAAGAAAGAGCACTGTTCTTTTGCCATTGCACTTTTAGATGGTAAAAGCTCAAAAGAAAATCTTTTTCTTTCTTCTATTTTTTTTTTACTCTAAACTGCGTATTAAGTTGAAAGATGTAGACAGATTATTGTCTGTAATTTGTTTTGTTTTATGAGCTTATCAATAAAGAACTTTCTTTTTATTTGCTAACTGCTATAAATAAAAGAAAAGTAAAGGTGAAAGAATATCTCGATTATATCTTTTTTGTGTGCTAACAAAATCAAGCAAGTCAAAAAAGACAAAAGAAACTTCTTATAAATATGAACTTGTATTTTAGATTTAACAGTATTTAACTATAATCATGTCTGATGAACATCAACAACCCGATGAGGGTGGGTGTGGGTGTGGGTGTGGGTGTGGGTGTTGAAGAAGCAAAAACCAATCCACACCCACACCAGCACCCACAGGTGGACATGGAGCAAATGCAGCTAAATTACGCAAATAAAATTTTATTTCATCAATATAAGAAATTTTTGTTTTTCCTCTCATAAATAATGTTAATAATTTTTGTTTTTTGAATATTAGTTAGAAATAAAAATAATAAATCAATTTTCAAATAATTCACATCGTGTTATAGTAACATTACTAGTTATTTCTTGAATATTTTTATATTGATCAAGTATTTGCCAATTAATTGGACAAACATGAATAGTTATTGGATCAGATAATATCGATAATATTGATAAATTAATTGGTTTTGTAGAACTTGCATATATTTTTGAAGAAAATAATGAATGTAAATTTTTTTTAAATGAACATGTTTCTTCTTAAAAGAGGAGACAAAAAAAAACAATTTATTATTATATGGACCATTTCAAGCAAAATGAAATGTTCAGAAAAAACTTTGAATAGAGTTTTTGTAACATTAGAAGTTGTTTACAAAATGTACTATTTCAGTTTCAAAAATTCTGTCTCAATTCGGAGTTTTTGTTTAAAACTAAAATGAATGAAGTGAAAGTCGATATTCTTTTCTTTTTGTGTCACATCGTTAATGCTAATTTTTCACTGATGACTCCTATGAACAAATGTCTTTAGCAGTAATCTTTAGAGTAACTTAACATACGTGTAACATATAATAATTAGCTCTAGGAAAGTTCATTATCTCGAGATACACATATTTTTATTTTGCAAAGTCACGTTGCTAACAATTATTTGACGTATTCTTTATGATATTGAGCTGATATATTGTGTGCATGTGGACAACAATAAATCCCGATCGCAACTGTCGATCCACCCTCGATCGATTCACATAAACTGGAATAGTGATTCATACATATTCTTGCCCTTATGAAAAAATATATTCAACAGAAATATGCGCTTGTTTGTTATTTTACTATTCCACCAACTGCTACTATTTTTTTTTTCTAGCGCTCAAGACAGTCCTATACGTTTACTTTATTATCACGGAAGCTTATGACATATAGTCAAAATATTAATAACTAGCGCACCCTGAAATAATGAATCTATGTCATAGCACTAACTTGAGTTTATTCAGTACTGTGGTTCGAAATTTGTCAGACAAGATATAGCTATGATATTAACTTTTTAAATGAGAAGTTGAACGAAAATATTTATGCCCATACGGTTTAAATAAAGTAATCACAATAAGAAAATGATGTGTGAAACAGAACTCTTGTACAGGCGAACAGATCGCTGGTCGATCGATGCTTGCGCTTAGGGTTTATTGTCGCATGTATACACCGAATCTATAAGCTTAATATCATGAAGTATCGTAGCGCTATATAGGAGACAGCTACTTTTTTTCAAGACTGTATATATATTTTTTTCAATAGTAATTAATTAAGTCTTACTTGCATAAGGTGATGATGTGATTTGACAATTAACAAATTTTTTGTTTTCATCTTCATAATGACATTCACAATGAACATTAAAAAATGGTGTTAAACCAATAGCAAAACATTTTCCTTCTTTATGATTATTTCGAAATTTTAATACTGAACATTTTCTTATTGAAGATAAACTAGTATTATTATTATTATTATTATTATTAGGTAGATATTCACATTCCGAACCATAATATTTTGATAGACATAAACATTTTTCTATATTATCTATTATAATACATTTACCATTATTCAAACATTTCTTTTTACAATAACTATCATTTATTATATGACGATGATATTGACAACGTGAACCATCATAATTAGATAAACATTGACAAGCAAAACCATTTATTAATTCAATACATATACCATTATTTAAACAAGATTCTGTATTACAATCGATAATATCAACGTTACATGTATTACCTGTTACTCCCGGATTACAAATACATTTATCATCAATACATTGACCATGTACACATGTTTCATTGAAACATTTACCTATTTAAATAAATATCTAGGCGTTTTAATAGAAGATTTACTCAATGACATTCTACCGTGAACACTTATATTAATGAAAAACCAGAATATGAAGACAAACATTATAGAAAAAGGTAAAGTACTAAAGAATAAATTTATTAACATAACTATATGTACAATAAACGAAGAGAAAAAAAAACATTCTACTGTATACGTGATAGAATTGACTGATATTATCTTTTAAAATGCTTTGGATACATCATTCAAAAAATAAAAATTTAATGAATGTTTCTAATAAGACCAATTATCATTTAAAAAAATTACCGAAATCAACAATTGAATAGGGCTGGTATAATTTGAATAAATACAATGGATTTTGATGATGTAATCATACCGAATATTTCAACAATAAAGCTAACTGCTGACAAAAAAAAGAATAACATCATATTGTAAAAGCTTTGATTAACAGCTAAGTTAGTACTATAATAAAATTGTATTCGGAATAACTGAAAAATTTTAACAATTTGCTTTCTTCAACGTATTACCTCCAAAATAAATATAGTATATGAATATCAGCGAGAGTATCACCAAAATCATAGTTAAACTATGCATCAAAAATTAGAACCCGAAGATTCAGAAAAAAAATGAAATCGGAAATTTTTTATTGATAACTGAAGAATTGTTTAAGCGTTGGATAATCTAAAATCGGAGATATCAATCTACAATTGCATCAAAAGTAAACTATGTGTATTTCTCACAACTGGATGAAAAGAGAAGTCAAAAATAACTGAACGTATGATTAAAGCCCCTTTTTATGTATAACAAGACACTTCCAATGTTTGCATAAAGCTTCAACTCAATGTGATCCTTTATTTGACGAAACGATTATATAGCTAGTTAACAGTTATGACATTTTCATGATTTCTCTTTGTTGTTTATCTTTTGAAGAAATTACTTTTTCAAAAGTAGTAACACATTAATAACACCCACACACGGACTAGTCTATACAGGTCTGACCTTTCATTAAATAGGTCACTTGTTTGTTTCTCAATTTTCTATATTTCTGTTCTTCGTTATTGTCATTTTCCATTTTGTCTTGACAATGACTACACAGTAGTCGAAACATCGGCTTTCTCGATAAACTATACAATAATGTTTATCGCTGCTGTAAAATCAATAATCCTCTTATAGCTATGTTATTGTACATGGAGAAGTACAATGTTTTTTTTTCACAGTCCGTCAGAGAGCTTCGTAATCTGATATAGAGAGACTCAACGTGCTTCTCATGGCGAAAGCACTAATATTTAGGAAGGCCTACCTTGAACATATGGCTCATATCGTTGTTATGTACGTCATACCTACGTTCATGGCTCTGTCAATCCGCTGTGGTTCGCTTTGCGTGTATCTGTTTCAGACTCATGGAGGTCTCCCTGATCGCGTGGAAGCGAGTGCGATAATTAGACGAGAAAAATCAGAAGGGATAAATAGTAATGAGAATAAATTTATTGAGCAAGCAAGAAAAAAAAACTTTACAGCGCCTTTCGAATTTTTTCGAATGTTTCTTTATAGTCCAAAAGATGAGGATGATTTGAAGGCAATTTTTCTTGAGCAATGTCTACTGCTGGTTGAATATTTTTCATTGCCATACTATATTGTCCAGTAGCCAAATATAATTTCGCTAAATCGTGATAAATTACGGCTAAATCAGGATGATTTTTAGGTAGTTTTTTCTCATGAATTTCTAATCCTTTTTGAAAATATATCAATGCCGTTGAATAATCTTTCATTTCTCGATAAGTTTCACCTAAATTTGTGTACATTGTTGCACATTCCAGAGGATTATATTGAACATTTTCTTGAATATTTAACGCTTTTTGATGAAATAAAAGTGACATTTCATAACGCTCTTTTAATCGATGAATATCACCAATGTCACTGTATGTAATAGCCCGATCGGGATGAGTTTCAGGTAATGTTTTTTGTCGTATTGCGAAGGCCTTTTCAAAATAATCCAGTGCCTTTGAATAATCTTTCATACCGCGATAAACTCTTCCTAACCTGTTGTATGTAACAGCAAAAGCTGGATTACCTTCTTGAAATGCTTTTTGCTGAATTTGAAAAGCATTTTTCAGAGACTTACGAGCTTCTGTATAATCACCCATTCTTTCGTAACAAGCCGCAAAATTCAAGTAACCAATGGCCAAATCGGGATGATTCGAAGGCAGAGCTTTCTCGTAGAGTTTAAATGCTTTTTCGTAAGATGTAAGTGCTGTCGAGTAGTCACCCATGTTGTAGTACAGTAGACCGATGGTATTGTATGATTGAGCCAAATCAGGATGATTCGGAGGTAAAACTTTTTCTCTTATTTGAAGTGCTTTTTCATGAAATTCAAATGCTTTCGAACATTCACCCATGTTACTATAGACTTGGCTGATGTTGTTATAAGACTTAGCCAAATGTGGATGATTTGAAGGCAGAGTTTTCTCTCTTATTTGAAGAGCTTTTTGGTAAAATTCAATTGCTTTCGAGTAGTCACCCATGTTATTATATATCATACCAATGTTACTGTAGGAAGTAGCTAAATTGGGATGATTCGAAGGCAGAGCTTTTTCGAGTATTTTTAGTGCTCTGTCGTAAAATTCAAGTCCTTTCAAGTAGTTACCATTGTTGTTATACACCAAACCGATGTTATTGTAGGAAGTAGCCAAATCAGGATGATTCGAAAGCAGAACGTTTTCTTTTATTCTAAGTCCTTTTTGGTAAAACTCAAGCGCTTTCGAGTAGTCACCCATGCTGTTATGCATCGAACCGATGTTGTTATAGGAAGTAGCCAACTCGGGATGGTTCGCAGGCAGAGCGTCTTCTTTTATTTGATGTGCTTTGGTGTGATAGTCAAGTGCTTTCGAGTAATCACCCATGTTACTATGTACTGTCCCAATATTGTTGTAGGAAAAAGCTAACTCAGGATCATTTGCAGGCAGAGCTTTTTCGTAGATTTTATGTGCTTTTTCGTGAAATTCAAGTGCTTTCAAGTAATCACCCATGTCGTTATATGCGAGACCGATGCTGCTATAGGAAGCAGCCAATGAAGGATGATCTTCTGGAAGAGTTTGTCGCCTGATTTCAAGAGATTTTTTGTAAAATAAAGCTGCTTCTTTGTATTGCCCTTGGCGGTTTTTCAGATGTCCAAGCATATGATAGATATGTGCGCTATCATCGTCGCTGGAAGCGTTCTTGAGTAATTCATTGTAGAGTTCTTCAGCTTGATCGAAGTGACCTACTGTGAGCATCAGTTTTCCCATTCGATACCATTCAGTGCCATCGATCTCCTCTCGTATGCGATTAGTGAGAGCAGCCAATTGTGGGTCATTGTCGTCTGTAAGAATCAGTTGTACTTCCCACAGGCGACTATTGTTGACCGTTTGTTTAATTTCACCGACACGAAAAACAGTGTGCATCGAAAAAAGAATTTCTTTTTCGCTTTTAATAGAACTGTAGCCATCGATAAGCGCGAACGGAGTCGTCGCAGCCGAAACTTTACTTGGATCGATTGTCATAACAAAGAGAGCACCCACAATGTCTTTATTTTTGCGCAGTACACGTTGAACAAATTCCATACCAACTTGTCGTTTTGTACTGGTAGACAAGAAATTGTTAAACGACAGGAGTCCACCTTTCGTATCCAGTAAATGTTCAAAGTCCTGCTGAGAAAGTCCTTGACCACGATAAACGGTAAACGACGTCTTATAACTGTCTAATTGCTCATGGTGTAATTGTTCCAGTTGTCGATGAAGATTACGGATGAAAAAGCCCATTCTAGTCATACTCTCCATATCAAGTGAACGTAAAGCCTTGTTGAGCATGCCATAAAGGAAACATTCATAAGTATACCACCAAACTGCCGATTTCTGGTGGTATTTACGCTGAAAATACTGTAATTGGGGTTCAGGGATCCGTTGTTGACGGCAATAGATCACTAGGTTGTTTATGGATTCCTCATCGTTGTCATCGATTTCCAATATAATTTCTTTGAATAGCACCGAATACATGTAAGACGGTTCCAATTGGTCGATTTTTTGTTGATCCGATACTACTTCGGTCATTATCCGCTTCTGAACAAAGCTCATTGGTATTTTGTCATGATCACATTCGCGCGCAACCTCTTTTAATGATTCGCATATGGACTTGATTGAGGTAGCGATAAGTCGAATTTTTGACCAAGATTTCGCCCATTCTTCGTGTCGACCTTTGTTCATACAGAAAACGTAGATGGTATCAAGTTGAGCAATATCGTGCATGAGAGGCACAGTCTTTTCACCAAGACTCCCAGAGATAATTAAAAAGATTTTTTCATCTTCAATGCTTTTCAAATATTCGAAGCATTGATCGGAATCAGTAAATAGTTCCACTGTATTAACAACATTTCGAATTTGTCTGAGAGAATTTTGAATATCTTCATTGTTCTCATCGATTTTGGCATCGAGCCAGACCAGAAGAAAATTTTGCACAGTTCTTCTGGATCGTGATCGAAAGGATGACGACGAAGTTGTAGCAGCAGTGGTAATAGTTGTAGCGGTGACTTGTTTTGATGCTGCTGATGCCTTCTTGATATTGTCTCCAGCAGTGCTAGTGCTGCTGACTGTGAACGATACCTCCTTGTCCATATTGTATGTAGTTGTGAACTTTGGATACTATAAGAATGAATCAATCAATCAATGCTCTTCAATACCTGAAAAGAGTTTGAGTGACGAGAACAATCACACTCACATTCAGTGCAATCCATACGTATCGAGAAGCAGAAAAATTCTTCACATATAAAATCATGTCAAAACAAGTGACATAGCTACAGTACAGTCCTGCATAATTGAAAGTTTTCTTAGCTGAAATTAATCTAACTCTCTGAAGCTTTAGTCAAATCGAACAGATAGAACTTCCTAGCTGACCGAACAGAACCGGAACCATTTTGCACATAAATTATTTCTTCAAATTGTAACATTATTATATGTCAATAAAATTCAAATACTGTTTTAATGACTGTGAGAATTTTCGCCTATTCTATCTTTATACACGTTTATCAGACTAGAAAAAAGACTACTGCAACAAATGAGTACAAAAAAGAAAGTAGCAACCATTTATATAGAACCAATGTTTATACAGACCAATTTTTAAGATAGTCAACATATATAATCGCCCTTTGAAAATATCATCCTCAAAGCTTGCACACGCAAGTGCTCCCGGTGAGAACCCGCTCGGTGTAGCAGATTAGCACAAGAATAAATAAGATGAAAATAAAAGATCTTCTAGGAAGAAATGAATATGACAGGCTGTCATTGGCAGATCAAATAAAGTAGAACCGCATTCTATTCTTCGTCGATAAGTTTACATGAATCTAATACTTTTGTGTCTCTTAAGAATCCATTGCAATGATGAAGTCTGCTTTCCGATTCTTGCAAAAACTTGACTGAAAAGCGGCTCAAACCGTAGGTTCGGTTCAGTTTGTATGAGTCGATAAAATATCGATCAACTTTTGTAGTACCTAATGCAAAATCTATATAGTTATGAATCATAGGACTTGATTCTATATTTGAATAATGAATTTGTAGAATAATGAAGTGTTTATTTTTATTTTTATTCAAATGGAAAAATATAATTCTAATTTTATTTCTTTACATATCTATACACGTATAATCTAATTGACTATCTAATTGTTGAAGATAATAATAATAAAGCTCTAATATTAATATTATTATTATTATCAATATGATAGAAATTATTAAAGTCTTTATCATTAAATAAGTTATTATTATTATTATTATCTTCAACAATTAGATAGTCAATTAGATTATACACGTATAGATGTATAAGAAATAAAAATAGAATTATATTCTTGTATTTGAATAAAAATAAAAGTAAACACTGCATTATTCTACAGATTCATTATTTGAATGCAAAATCTATTTTGTTGTCTTCACTTTCAAAAGGAGTATCAGTATTTTACGTGTGAGAGCTTCTTCAATAAAGACTATCAATTGCATATACTAGACATTTTGAGTCGGAGCTTTCTCGAATTACTTTCAGGTCACTAAAATCTCTCAGTTCTATGTCTTATCATGTTTTATTGTTTATAGCTACTCTTGACATTCAATTTTAATTTTATCACTGATTTCATAATATTAGAAATAAAATAAACTTACGTGCTAAATGATACTGAAGTAAACGAGTTTTCTTTTGTGCGCTCGTAATCACTTTTTCTCCGTATTTATCGTTAATGATATCATTTGATTTTTTGTACCTTATCCATGTTTACATGAATCACTGACGCATGACGTTTTCATCAGGTAGACAGTTGTTTTCATCAGGTAGGCAGTCGTTTTTCATCAATACACTCATTATCACGTGTGTTTCGTTCTTTCAATGTTGTTTCTCTTTTTTTGCTTTTCTTCGTGTTTCGTGCACTGTAAAAGAGTAAATTATTCATAGGGAACAAATGAGAATATTCTAGAAATGCTCATATGAATTCATCAACAAATTTCTACTTTTTTAAAAATACGATATTCAAGAAAATAAGAGTAATAAGAAATTCGATTTTCGAATTAGAAAATCAAAAGCGAATTACTATGGGCATTTCTAGAATTTTGGATTGAATTTAGTGATTCAAACATTTTTAACAAACTGCAAAATCAATTTTCATTATATAATTGAGTTTCTCTTATTTATTTTATTCCACATTTAACCCTTTCAATCCCGGCTTTTTTTCAAAAAATTCAAAAATCATTTTTTTTTGAATTTCTTATTTTATTTTATTTGTATTTCGTTTCTCAAAGAAAAGGGAATATGTATAATGACATAATAGAATATCCCACAGAACGAAAGGAATACACCATAAAAAGAAAAAGAGACGGTGACAATATAGGTCAATCCAAAATACACAGAACAGTACTAAAGAAAAATCCCAATGTCGAATGTCACTATATCACAGAAAAGGAGATTGTGGAGATTTGTGAGTGTAAAAAATAGTAATATTTTGTATCAATTTGAAGGTATTGCTAATGCCTATTGAACTGTAAAATCAGTTTAATTCCATACATTAAATATTGAAAAGAAAAACATGGGTGGCGCAGTCGGGACTGAAAGGGTTAACAAGCAGAAAGGAAAGAAAGAAGGATTGTACTACCCATGTAAAAAAAATAATCAAAAAATCGATTTTAATCATACACCTTTAATCAGTAATTCAAGCAGTAATAATCAAAACAAAATCAGATGATAATCGATTATTTCAAATATGATGATTATAATCCATTTTCTAAATTTTATCAAATCGATTATAATCATCATATTTGAAATAATCGATTATTATCTGATTTTGTTTTGATTATTACTGCTTGAATTATTGATTAAAGGTGTATGATTAAAATCGATTTTTTGATTATTAAAATTATTTTTTTTTACATATTTTTTTTTACATGGGTAGTGTGTTATCACGTAATAAACGATAAAAAGATGTTCCAAACAATTAAAGAATATACTAGAAGCATCTTTCTCAAATAACTGCATTTGGACGCATATATGCGTCGCCGGAACTCAAAGGGTTAAAATATATAAAGAAAAAAAAAGCAAAGTAGTTACGATTTGATGAAAAAAAAACACATCGAAAACTACTATCAGAGAGTTAATTTTAAAAAAATTGCACAAAAATATACAAAGATTAATTTTTTATATTTTAACCGATTTTATTTGTATGGTCAGATAGGTTTCAATTGCTTCCTAAAATAAACAATAATAAAATTAATTGATGAGAATTATACAATAATTGAAGGCCTCCCCCCCCCCCCCCCCTTCTCTCAAAAGTCACTTTTCGTCAGAATCATTGAAATTGAGATAAATACATGGGAAGAGATAGTCTGTCATTTGCTTTTTTATAAACAATAAAATTTTTCTTCGATACCTTCTTTTTTCCGGAAAATTTTCAAGATTTTTGACAACCCCTATTCGAAAAATCAGCGATTTTTGAAAAATCCAAAAATCTTTTTCGTTTCTACTCAAAATGGTGGCCGAACGATGCATCTTCAGCGAAAGTCAACTATAATCCGATATAAAGTCAAATATTTTTTTTGTTTGTTTGAAAGAACATCAAAAACTGCAGTGCGTATGAGAGCTCTTTTTTGATAAAGCTTTGTTATTATTATATTGATAAGCAATTTTATAATATGAGTGTCAAATTTTTTTAGAGGTCTTTCAGTGATTGAACTTGTCAGACATTTTTTTCCTGCAGAAAGATAAGAGTAAAAAAAATAAAAGGACCCTCATAGGCACTGCATCCGAACATGCTCTTTTAAACAAAAAACAATCAAGTATATTGAATGAATACCCACAGAGAATTTTTGGAGACGTGATAAGCTATTTTTCCACCCTTGTTTGGTTCGTATCTTCCTTATGCATCAGGATAGGAGGCTGAAAATTTTACCACAGACGTCCTTTTACAGACCCAACATATCTCCAAAGTTTTATGGCATTTAGATGTTCGTGGGCTGAGATCGATTTTTGAGGGGGAGGAGTGGCCTTAAATGGTCGTAAATTACTAGGATAATTTAATAATATTATTTTTGAAGTGTTTATAACGTTTCACAATCAAATGTTCCAATACGAAAACTGGTTATTTTCCTACAACAAAGGAAATACTATACATCGATAAATATAATATATTACCATCAGTAATATTTTTGTTTTCTTTAATGATTCAAATATCTGAATAATTTTGTGCAAGTAGATTTTAATGCTTGAACTATTAGGTTTACAAGAAAGTTTTTGCGTTTTTTTCAAAAATTTCCATTTTATTTTTTAGCTTCAAGAATACAATTCGCTTTCCACAATGTATGCTCCATCACTATCTATGACTTGTTCCCAACACTCTGGAAGAGAAAGGATCCCGCGTTCGTAGAAGTCCTGGAACTTTTGGCCGAAGAAGTTGACGAGGTCCATTTGAGGTCAATCTCATCGTCGAATTTTTTCTTGCCCAAATGGTTAAAGAGAATGAAACAAATAATAGTCCGTGGAAGCCAAGTTTGGAGAATAAGGTGGATGTAGAACCGTAACCCATTCGAGCTTCAACAATATTAGACCAATTGATCAAATCATTTAGAATGAACACGAAATTGGTTGCTATTATTTCTAATTTCCACTGTACCATTTATTGACGTCGGCGCAAAACTTAAAGGTACTCGGTTAAAAATTGAGTAAATCGAGCATACAAACACCTAGTAATGTGCAGTTTTCGCCACTTGATAAAGGGATACAGAAGACATAAGTTCGTATAGAAGCAAAGATCTATTCTCTAATGAAATCTGAATGAATCAAGGTGAAGCTTTCAGCATACATACATAAGCCTACTGTAGTGCAATCTTCTGTGAAATTATCATTGATAAATGCTATAATGGCGAGGAATGGTGAGTCAACCATCATCTGATCCTACATAGTGCTCTCATTTACTTAATATATGAGTAAATGAGTTCAACTTTTGATTGAATAAATACCATTGTCTAGAATTGACATCTGTGCAATAATATCATAATTTAATCATGTGAATGGGCGAAGGTAGTACAAATCCCAAGAAAGAATGATTTCACAAGATAACTATTCTAGTCAATTGTCTAATCCTTAGATTTTATATAAACTTATGTTCGGTGCACCTCTCTATCAAATGGTGAAAATTGCATATTACTAGATATTACCTTATAGTCTTGTGTCGACATTAGTTTCAAAAATGAAATATCAATCGTATGTGTAGATTGCTTTCATATTAAAGTACAAAACGTTTATTACTTTTATTTCAATATCGACCTAAAATGTTCTAATCTCTGTCAAGAATATAAAATTTAATGTGATTATGCATCGAAAAAAAAAATTAAATAAAAAATCTAAGAATGTGATTAATATAATTGTTATACGGAAAGTTTTATTGTTTTTCTTTAAAATAAACGAGAAAAAAAAGGCATAAAGTTCATTCATGGTTGTTTTGCAAGACCAAAATGTATATTATTCATTGGTTACAATTTTGTAAAGCTTCTTTAATTTTGTCAAAATCTGGTACTTTGCTTGCATCAGCTAATATTTCAGCATATTTAATAATTCCTTGTTTATCAATAACAAAAGCACTTCGTTTAGTAACACCTTTAAGATTAAATTTTGGAAAATCTTCATAAAGTGAATCATATTGACGTGAAACATCTTTATTAAAATCTGATAATAAATCAAATGGAAGTTTTTGTTCTTCACGAAATTTTCCCAAAGTAAAAAGTGAATCAACCGAAATACCAACAACAGTTGCATTTAATTGTTTATATTTACTAATATCATCTCTTGCTGAACATAATTCTTTCGTACAAACACTTGTAAATGCCAATGGAAAAAATAACATCACAACATTTGATTTTGATGTTAAATCTTTCAATGAAACTTCTTTCTGTTCAGTATTGTATAAAGTAAAATCAGGTGCTGGTTGACCAACTTCAATCGGCATTGTTTTTACGATTATGATCTAATAATTAATAATCAAATTATTAATGTCGATTATTTATCTAAATATGACAAAAAAAAACCGATAAACATAGTACCGTAACTCTGATCTCCTTTCTTTCATAATAAAAGCACACACTACTTTATGTTTATTAAAATGTTTGCTCGAGAAAAAGAATGAAGAAATAAAACCATCCATCATCCAACCATCTTGTGCCACGTTTCTTTCTTTCTTATCACCAATATAAAAGAAAGAACGACCGAACGAAAAATATATGTAGACGACTACTGTTGACCTTTCTCTTTCCTTTTTTTGCGTATGATAAGAAAACGTTTTCATTAATATGTCTCAATAATAAATATTGAACTTAAACAATAACATAGAGTATTTTTGTTCAAATGATTTAGAACTTGCTTAAAGAATCAACATTTTCTATTAAACTAAATTTCTAATTGTAGGACTAATTACTATTTTCAATTGAGTTAATGATAGTCATGATCAATAAATATTTTTTCAGATTCATTCAAATTTGTATCATCGTAATATTAATGAAAAGAAATAGGCATCCGTTCTCTAAATCTTTCACTCTATTGAATATATCAGAATAGACAATGATCACGACATGAATTCCCTTCTTCTTGTAGAAAGCATTCGATCAAGAAATACACAAAGGTTAGAAAAAAGGTGTCCCTACACGTCAGATCTAAGTGAGAAGACAATAGTATCCTCAATGATTATATGTCATCATTTGATGTCTGTCACAAGAAGTTACATGAATAAAAAAAAACTACACAAAGTGATTCGTAGAGAGTTGATGACAATGTGACTGATTCTTAAATTTCAAATGAATAATAAGAAAAACTCCTTCACATTATTTTTGTTATAGAATGTTTATCATTCTATATAAATCAGTTTAAAGTTTTGTATCTTCGATCATTATCGCATTGAAACAATAAATAAGAACAGGGTATGAGTCTCCTATTTTCCTACACTCTCAAGGTGATTTGCTCTACATATTCACAATTCAACCTATCGAGAAAAACCACTTGCATTGATCTCAGGAAAATGTGTGCCATGTTTTAACCATAACAGCAAAAGAGATCGACCTTTCACCATTTTGCAGATGATCCTCTAGGCTACTTTTTGTATGTATAAAACCTATGGATTGCTATAGAACCTAAGATAACCACAGCCAAACCTTTCAAATATTGTTAATGAATACTACTTGAAAAGTCTATGCGCATTATCATTTATTAGTGGATCGATAGAGTACCTCCTCAGCGCTCTACGCAATGGTGAAAACCACAGCTCGCTAGCTGTTTCCATTCTCAAGTTATTCAACAAATGACCACGACCATTTTTTTCTTTGTCGAGTAAAATCTTTTTACTAAATTTTAGAGAAAATAGATAGAATTAGGCCAATATTTCTTCATCAAAACTATGTTTTGATACAATGAGATTATCATATTCGGAATCAGCGTAAAAAAACCCGAATCGACTAATGTATACTTTTATTATTTCCATTGACTTCAATTTTTTCTCAGTTTTCATCTGAAACAACTGATGGGTGAAATTTTCACCCAAAAAATAAAGGGTAACAAAAATTTTGAAAACATACATCAGTCGATCAGTTATTTGTGCTAATTAAAATTTAGCAAAAATGATTTTATTTGAAAAAGAAAAAAAACCGGTGCTTACTTTTATGATTGGTGACAGTACAATGAAATAAATGAGATAAAATATTTTGTTTAAAACTAAGTTTTTCACAAAAAGACTGTTTGTATTTTTGTATGTTCAATAAGCTTAGGGATAATAATCGTAGAGACGAGATAAGTGTTTATTCGCAAAAAAATGTCACGTCCACATAATAAGCCAAAATTGTCCACTGTACTGTCTCTCGACTTTTTTTGACTAGATTTTCCGTGTCTGAGCAAAGTTACCGAGATTGACATCTTTTACATCGTACAAGTGTGGGAATCAAAAAAGAGAAAAACACTATAGAGAAGTTTTAGAAACGAATTCGCTGAAATGTAAATTATGCTACAATATTGTACACAAAGTTCGGCAATTTGCGGTGTAACTTTCAAAGTGGCAGAACAAATATTTGGGAGAAAAATTATCCAAATAGAAACTATCGAAATACCGAAAAAAAGCTGGTTTTGAACAAATCTTTACTATTGTTTTAGATTGATTTAAAGCAGCCTATATATTTTAACTATTTAAATGAACACATGCACAATGGTATTCAGAATTTAATTATGTATCCGATGGTATGAGAATCTATTTTGGTATACAGTGCTCAATTTTTGGAATTCCCTTATATAAGCACACCCTAACACACATGACTTTTTATCAGTAGAAAAAGCAAGAATTTGCTGTTTGATATTTCAATAGGTTTTCATCTGATCAAGTTTATGGCTGCATGAGAAGTCTATCCGAAAAACAAACTCAATAGTTTTTAGAGAAATAAATTCTTTAGCCTGCGACATCAGAACTAAAATTTGAAGAAGTGCTAAATTTCTTAAAGATAGAAAATAAAACTGCGACACGTACTATAGAACACCCATTATTTTTCAAAAAATTTCCTCAGACATTAATAGTTATTCTACAATTTTCCCTAATGGTCGTTCACACACGCAGGTACATTCTGCAACTCTGACTACAACATCTGTTAGATTATTTTTTTCTTGATCTGACATTGAAGAATTCTCTTATTCTCCTATCCAATTTAGATTTAATTAAAAAATTAATTAAATCATCAAAAGATCCTGAATATGCTCTAAAAGTTCTTATATATAAATCAATATCAGATAGGGATGTAAATTGAAAACATTATCTAATAGGTTTATCATTCATTAGAATATAATGAGCTGATTATAGATCATCATACAATGAAACAAATGATCAAGAATTTAAAAAAAAATATTATTTATCATTAAATTTCAGTGAGAAGTTAAATAAGAGATCCAATGGAAATAAAATCTTGTTTTTTTTTCGAATATTAATAATAAATAATTTTCTTTTAAAATATATAATAAATTAGTAATTTATTTTTAGAGACTTCTCATAGCTTATTAACCAATTATGTCCCAACAATCTGCACTTATTCAATCATTGATCAACTGCTTGTCTCATTACTTAAGCTCATTATTCTCGTTTTCCTATAGTTATATCAAGTTTTCTAATGACAAACACAATCAGTAAGCATTCTTTCCAATAAAGATTTCAAATCATTATAATTATCTTTTATTTTAATAGATAAATCGTTTCAATATGATAATCGTAATAAATTGCATATTTAATTATTGTTTATCATACTTTCGTAAGAACTCTTATTGAACAACATGGTTAAATATTGAATAGTTCCAATCACCAAGCAATAGTCAACAATCAATTGATCGAAGTAGAAATTCTGATAAAAACAAAAAACATCTCTAACATTAGTCACTATTCGACAAATAATCAATGATTTTCTTTTTCAATGTGACTCTTTCTCAATGTTTTGATATGTTATGTTATATTTATTGACAACATGATAATGATAATCTTATATCAAATTCATTATAAATAAACGAATCTGTATTTAGATATTGAAATTTATTTGATTTTAATCAATTATTAATTACAACTCAATTTGAATCGAGAAAATAAGGTGGTGTTAGAGAAGCATAAGTAACGGGTGAATATTAAGAAAAAAGAAACAAGAAACATTTTTTTTATTTGTATTTTTTTTCTACAAGTAATAGCTTATTGAGTAAATCAAGTCGAGTTCATTGAAAATAATGAACAACAAGATATTTTAGTAAATAAAATCAATAATGAATTCAATTCAATATGAATAATGAATAACGAAAAACGAAGATCAGCTGATAAACTTGTTGAACAATTTATTTGAAAATATCTTATTTAATAAAAAATCAATTATATCCTGTTTTTTGTCCTCCATTAGATATAAACTCAATAGGAATGACATATTCCTCTTAAATGTCCTACACAAACATATCTATCATATTTATCGAACAATTGATTATCTTACTAAAGGATGTTTAATTTTTGTTTGATATTTTTTTCCTAAAGTTTCACTTTAGTAAAATAGGTTTATTTTATAATTCGAAGTTATTTTTAATCTTCTAATATTAAGAAGATTTAGATCAATAGAGTCAATCTAGTGCACCGACTTGCGGCACAGTTTAGTTGACGTCAGTTCAATTTGCTCAAGGTCTCAAAGGTTTACTTCAAGTCATCTTATAGATAGAGGTTTCTACATATAGATTCAACAGTTTGACTTCCATTCCTAGTTTTAATTTATTTCAAGTCACCATTCTCTTATGCGAATCAAACAAAAGACTACAATTTTGTCAGACTCGAGAAGATCTCAAGTAGAATACTTTATTGAAAACGTTTTATTACTTGACAAAAAAGAACTTTGAAATTAAAGTACGAGTCCTTTAGATGTATAATACGAAAGAGATGTTCGATTTTTCTTTATCCTATAATATGAATTGTATCCTCTAAGGAATTTTTCTTCAGTCTTTGACGATTTATGATTAAATATCCTTTTGTAATTGATAACAAAATCTCATCTCTATATGACTTTTAACATATTACAATCTATTGAACCTCGAGATGTATTTTTTAAAAGTTATTAAATATCTTTTATCTTTAAGTGAACATGAAGAATCAAATTTATGCCGTGCATATGAATTTTGTGGCTAAATTAATTCAAAGAATAGTTAATCTTTGAACGATATAATGATTAAAATATTTCAATTCATATTTATTTTATTAATCAATTTTTCTTGTATGAAATAGTTCAAGAGACAGTTTAAGATTAGCTTAGAAAATTACGTAGGATATCTTAGGTCAGAATTCGAGTATTTCCTGAAAGGATTCGTTCCAGAAAACTTTCCAAAATCTAACAACTTTCCAAGTAGAACTCGACGAGCTCTATCCAACCACATAATTCATTTTTCTCTAGCCCCCACCTCAAACCGCGAAAATCC